CACCCTTCAAAATAACCTACAAAAAGGTTTGCAAAGGCAGGGGTAGCAGTGCTGCAGATAGCTGTACCACTGCTCTAACTAAAGAACAAATCCTCACATTTAAAGACATTGTTTTCAAATATAATGTCAAGATCCTTGATATTGTTCTGATGATAAAATAGAGGCCTCCATTATAAAAAAAGCCAGCTTGATTAGTAGTGTTTATCACTCATTATGAGCTTATGCACATCATTTCTAACTGATCTAATGTAAGTTTTAAAGGTACTGAACTCACCAGTATGTATAAATGTACTCATCTTCTTGAAGGTAGATGTAGTTGGATTTTTACCTGTCTGGTTAGAAACATGTTGACGTAATGTCTGTAGTCTCTCAAACTTAAACAGTTCTGGTTTAAACATGGTTAGAACTTCTGATGATGGTTTTATTGCTGTCCATGTCCTCCTACACCATAGACAATCTCAGACCCTATTTCTTGTTTTGGAGTCAGAGAAAATCTCTCAAATGGAGTTTGCTTTTCAAACACATCCTCACAAACAGTCAGACTTAGCTGGAGCTCTGAACAACTGTTAATATTCTATAATGGTGTAACCTGTACTTAAAGGAGAACTATGGGGTCAGGCCTTTTCCCCATAGTTCTCCTAAGGATCATGGGAAAACACAAACTGACCCAAAGCTCAGTATACCGCGAGCTACAGCTCGCGGTATACTGAGACGCAGCAGCCGGAAGAATCCCGACAATACTGTCTGGATCCACCCAGCTGCGTGAGTGACAGCTGGCTCTGCCTATATATAGGCAGAGCCAGCTGGAGGATCGGGGAGGGGGGGGGAATCCCTGCAGGGAGCCGTGACTGACAGTCACGGCTCTCTGCAGGGATAGATCGAGAAGTGAGTGAGTGATGGTATGTGTTCGCTCACTTCTCGATCTACTGAGCCAACCTGTGACAGTTCATTGTCCCAGGTCGGCTCAGATTATGAGGCTAAGTGAAAATCACTTGCCTCATAATTCTCCTTTAAAGTGCAACTGAAGCCAAAGCTTATTTTTTATTTTTAATAGAGTGTAGAGGGGTTTGAATACTTGTCAGTTTTTTTTTTGCTGTCTGTGTCCCCGTTAAAGTGATTCACTCCCTCCATTTGTCCTGGTGATCGTTATCACAGAGTGACAGAGAATCCCACATTTTGGGTTGTCGTCAGAACAAGAGTAGATTAAAAATCTTCATATGGTAACGCTAAGGCTGCCCACACACTGTAATATTTTCTTTGTTCAACCCATGGGCTGAACAAAGAAAATATAACCGATTGCTCAATCAAGGCTTACAAGTGACAGCAGCTATATCCAAACAGAGCCGGCAGCTCATTGGCTACAAGTTCTCTTCGATCAGCTGCACCCACTGTAAATTTTGGCCAGCTCATCAAGAACCGCATAAAACATGTATGGCCAGCTTTATTCTGATGACTCTGCTGACAACCAAGGATTTCTCTCTCTTTGAACAGATTTCCTCTCACTTCTTGTTTTGGCTATTGGACGGAAAGTGAATGGAAATCTCCCTAATGGAACACAGATGGCAAAAGAGGACGGGCTTTGAGACCCAGTGATGTCTTCCTTAGGTCTATCTGTTGCTCTGAGCTCTGAGTTTGGTGGGAGGGCCAGGAGGCTGCTGTAAACATCACAGCTTTCTGCTTTGTATCTTCAAAAGCAGTATATGAAAGAACCCATTCCGGGGATCCCTTTTGATGTGCCTGCTGGGTGCTGCAGACTTAAGCAAGCCAAATCTGCTGATCGGTTGACTGGTTGCAGGCATGTCTAAAGGGATGCTGGGGATGTGTTCTTTCACATAAAACTCCAAAACAAAATGATTGATAGCAGAGAAAGCTAATAGTAGTGGTGTTGGTAGTAGTGGGGGACAACAACTATATGGATCAGCGGGAGAAGTGATTGATGAATGACGGAGGTTGTTCAGACAGGAAATTAAGGTGTGCTCTGCTTTCAAAGCAGGAAGGGAATGCTCTGCAAGTGCAAGTATTTCAAAATTATAGCAACTTTGGTAGAATCTTATTTTTGAGTGTAAAGGTCCGCTTTAACCAGTTGCCGTCCGCAACGGACGGCACTGCTGCATTAGCGGGTTGCCGTCTCCAGACGGCATTTTTTTTCTGCTCAGTGGCGCACGGGCAGAAAAAACCTGCGCAATGCATAGAGCCGTTACCGGCTGTTTAACATATACCCGATCGGCGGCTCTATAGCCAGCCGATCGTGTATATGTGCTAGTGTGTGCCCCCCTCCCCCCCTCGTCTGCTGCCTTGCCCGGATGGGAAGGGGGCTTAACACCGCGGACTTCAAGTGGTTAATGGCCTTATTCTCGTAGATACTGTGAGGGGAATTTATCAAAACTGGAGCAGACAAAATCTGGAGTAGCTGTTCAGGGCAACCAATCAGCTTCTCTCTTCAGTCTGTTCAGTTAAGATTTGAAAATGAAAGAGAGAAGCTGATTGGTTCCCATGCACAGCTGCTCCAGTTTTTGTCTGCTCCAATGTTGATAAATTCCCCTCTGTATGTTTAATGGATAACAGAGAGACAGTCCGGTGACGTATACAAAACTGTACCACATTAGTTACATTGTGAAGTGTTAAAAAACTTTTTCTTTAAGTTTTGTTAAATAATATTATAAAGTTATCCTTCATAGTACCCATTTTCCTATGGCTAAAATGTATTTTTGTTCTTGTTTCTTTTCTCTTGGTTTGTAGTCTTTTTTTCTTTTATGTTGGGGTTAGTTTGAGTGAAATGTTTTTTCATCTTAGAAAAGAAAAACGTTTCTACAAATGATCTTTTATAGATGAATGCTGGCAGACCTGTTATGTGGAATTTTTTTGTCTAATTTCCCTGAGACAAACTATCTTTTTACCTTTAGAATTTTTTTTCTATTTTATTCCAACAACTGTATACACTACAAACTGAATTTTTTTTTACTAGAAAGCATCATTTATAATCTGGTGTCATCGCAGGTTCACTTTCTGAAAGAAATATCTTTTGGGTAAATATGATCCTTACAGTTTCTGCAAAGGTAGTTCATATGAAAGTGTGACAAGCATTGTCTTATGTCTATAGATAGCTTTCTTTGCAGTTATTATTAGTGCTAGGGGAAAGTTGGTTGGCGGTTGAGTTAGAGTTACAGGAAACTTTTTGCTTTTTTTGGTTATACTGGAAATATACAATATATAATGTAAATATGTGGAGTGAATTTGTAAACAACAAAAGTGTGTTATCACAGTTTAATATCCCACACAGCGTGCTGATGTCACCAGTTACCTAGAGCTGAGTGGGACGGCTCTGGCTTGTGCCCCGCCAAGCTCCTGGCAACCAGTGATGTCCTTTGCCTAAATGCTTTGTTTTAAAGGTTGTCCCTCTTTCTCATCTCAGAAAGATGGGAGGAATACTATAGATGCAGGTCTCAGTCTCAGCTCAAGTCTCATCACTCTACCCCCTCCTCCTGTGCATCTGCTTTTTGCTTACATTGATATTAGCAGACTGGCATGCTGTCAAGTCACTACTGGCAGGCGAGGGAATAGTAACTGTGAGAAAATGAAAGCCATGGTTGTCACTCAGGCTGGACTACAAATATGTCCTTTATCTCCATTACATAGGAGATGGAGAATAGTAGTTTACAGAAGAAAGATAAAATAGTTTTTGCTTTCAGTTTTGCTCACATAAAATGACAAGGACACTGTATTCCTGGCAAGAGCAACAGGTATTTTCTGTACTTGCTGAACATGTTCTTAGGCTAAAATAAGAAACAATTTCAGCCACCACATCTAAGTACTGGTAAGCTGCAGTGCGTTAAATGTTTGTTCTTGGGTTTAATTTCCTTTAAAGTTTTTGACTACTTGTTAAGGATATGTAAATATTGGAATGTCCATAACATGGCCACAGTTGCAATTTAAGGTAACTTTGAACATTTGAGCAGCTTAGAAAAATCATTATTTTTATTAATAGTATTTGCTATTTGCTGTTCTGGAGGTGGAGTGCAAATTTGTGGGGGGTTTTTACAAAGCTATCTCTCCCTTCCCATATCTCCCTGAATGTTATATATGCTTAGCATAAATCAGTGCTACCCAAATTTTGTGGAAGAAATGTTGTGGAAGCCCAGGTCCCATTGTCAGTGACACCATTGGGGAGACTTTCCCTCACTTCTTTACCCCCGTAACAGGTGTACATAAAAGGAAGGATGTGCTAGTCACTAGAAAAGAAAAGCACATACAGCAATAAAAATATTATCAGAAGTTCTAACCCTTCCTCTCATTGCTAAAAGTGTGTATTCATTATTGTTTGCATCACCTCCGGAGAGGTTTCCCATCACTTCCTCTCCCAAGCCTCTAACCCTTTCCTGCTCTATCCAAAACAAAAACATTTTGGATTGAGTTGGGCTTCATGGGGTAAAGTAGCTGTACCCTCTTCATTTAAAGTGCTTATGAGATATTATGCATCGCTATAATGTTGTATCTTTTTTTATTTGCCAGTTAAACAGTAAGAACTGAACATCTTATTCTAGGGTAGGATGAGATGAAGAAAGAATTAGAACCTTTGTTTTTTCTAACCATATAAAGCCAATTTCCCTTCACTTCCTTTCTCGGAGACACAATAGAAAGTGAGACAAAATCTCCTTTCAAAAGGGAGAAAAGAATACCACCTTTAACACTGGTCACCAGAAGAGGTGTGCCCATTGGGAGATTTCCCTTTTACACCTGCTCCAGTGACAACTGGAACATTTTAGATTTCCCATCATTTTCCGTCCTAGATCCAAAGGTTTTCGTGACCAAAAGATAACATGCATTCCAAAACAGGGAGATAAGCAACACTAAAAACCTAAAAAAAAAGATATGTCCCTACTCTACCCAAATCTAGAAATATGTTTTGCTGGAGAAAACCTCTTTTATGTCTTTCCTAATAATGATTCATCTTTCATTAAACTATGTAATAACAGGGATCTACAATGTGATCTTATTTTTAGATAGAGTGGAAGCTGTGAGAGACCTGATTCTGGTGAATTCTCTTCCCTTAATTGCCAATTCGGACACCTCTATGATTTGTATTGCACCTCCATGGAGTTCCCCAGAGACTATCTCTATTGTTAGAGACATTGATGCCCTTGTAAATACGCTGCATGATCCACTGGAAGTCAGTCTGGATGAAACACGGAGAGCTGCCAAAAGGGTGGTATGGAAAAAAGAGAAGACAGCTGACGCCATTGGAGCCTATTACTGTGAATGGAAATCTAGAGACACAGTAACCAGGATACGGACTATGAAGATGTCAGCACAAGGTAAAATGCATTGTTACCTCATCATTCCCTGATCTGATAGTTTTTATTGAGGAGAATGAGGGACATAAATGGGATTATGTATGTTCAGTGAGTACTTAACAAGATAAGCCAAGAGAAGAATGAAACTTTATTGACAGAACTAGAACCATCACCATGTTAACATACATGAGGAACAGTAAACCAAACAGGGTCAATTCACTAAGCTATATAAATTAGTTTAACTGTGTTTGCTAATTTATCATACAATAATAATAATAATAATTTATAAGTATCAGAATATTTAATTATACATGCATCTGCACTTACAGTTTCCTCTTAGTCTGCCTACAAAGTAATTTTTTGAGCCTGTCACTGAAGTCATTTTAATGCACCTTTCTGTGATGATGTGGCAACTATGCGGCACTGCGACACTGCAGCAAAGCTGTGTAAATCTTAGGAAATAATAGACAGAATTACAAATTCTTTGGCAGGTAGAACAGCTTCTTTATATTTATTTCATCTCTGCATTTATCTGTTTTCATTATTTTTCAGCTTCATTTATTCCAACATCATTAACTGTCACCGGAAGTCTTGGGGACAATATCACTCTTAGTTTTGTGAAGAAGGTTCCAACTGATGAAGATGCAGTATTCTACAAGAAGAGTAAGTGGTAGAATCATGTTCAATCCATTTTGGACTGTGTAACCTACAATAAGCACTGAAATGTAAGTCCCCCGCCCCCTGCATGCACGCACATATAAATGTAAATACGTGGCGGGTGCGCCACACAAACAACGCTTACGCCACACATGTTACATATTGCTGTGAATGTCGGAGTGTGAGTAATAACTCTAGGCCCATCAATCACTGATAACACTAAACTGATGAGCGGTAAAAGCTTTTAAAGCGTCGTTCATGGCCAATTTTAGATATGGTAGATGTTTGCGATTTTGCGGGCGCACGCAATTTTAAAGCTTGACACGTTTACCCGATGTGACCCCGTCTTTTAGATTTTACCAAAAAATTGGGTAATAATATATGTTTTATAACATAACATAGGGAAAACATTTTTTTTTCCCCCAATACTTTTTTCATTATACAGTAAAAAATGAAACCACCAAAATAAAGCTCTATCTGTCTTTTAAGTCACATAGTTACATAGTTAGTCAGGTTGAAAAAAACACATAAGTCCATCGAGTTCAACCTACAGAGAGAAGAAAAAAAAAGAAGAAAAGCCTAAAACAGAACGCTGTGCCCACAATTAGCCCCTGTTGATCCAGAGGAAGGCAAAAAAAACCCTATAAAGTATGGTTCAATTTGCTCCAACAGGGGAAAAAAATTATTTCCTGATCCCATAAGGCAATCGGATATTCCCTGAATCAACAATCTCTGGTGCTTAATATACCTATAAGTCAATACCTATAACTCAATATCCAGTAATATTCTGTGTATTTAGCAGTACATTCAGACAGGAGCATGCAGGGAAGACACAGGTGAGTATTAACCTCTGTTAAAGCGTTTTTTGTTGTTTTTTTTTACACTTTTTGCATAGATCTACTGCTTGCTAGCAGTAGATCTATGCAAAAAACAGAGGCTTTAATTATCCTTTATACCTCTTTTCCTCCAGACACAAAGAGTGGCCCCTTGTCCTTTGCAGTGACCTTAACGTGAATAATTTGGCACCAAGCTCTCTATGTGGACCCTTTATGTATTTATACATGGTGATCATGTCCCCCCTTAATCTCCTCTTCTCCAGAGAGAACAAATTCAGGTCAGTTAATCTTTCCTCATAGCTGAGCTCCTCCATGCCTCTTATGAGTTTAGTCGCCCTTCTCTGCACTTTCTCCAGTTCCACAATATCCTTTTTGTAAACTGGTGCCCAAAACCGAACTGCATATTCCAGATGAGGTCTTACTAATGCTTTGTACAGGGGCAGGATTATGTCTCCATCTCTGGAGTCTAGACCCCTTTTAATACAAGAAAGTATTTTGCTTGGTTGACATTGCATGCTATTATTGAGTCTATGAGCTACCAGAACACCCAGATCTTTCTGCATCAATGACTCCCCCAAACATACTCCCCCTTCATTGGCCAAATAGATGCCCAATCACACAGTGCATTGTATCTGCTTGTAGGTTGGAGACATCCTGTAAGGACTGTATTCCACTACATAACTTGGTGTCATCTGCAAACACCGAAATAATACTTTTAATCCCCAATTCTATGTCATTTATAAATAGATGAAACAGTAAGGGGCCCAACACTGGGGAACCATTCAGAGTATGAATCATTGATCACCACTCTCTGAATACGGTCTTTAAGCCAGTTTTCTATCCAATTACAGATGGAATGCTCGATACCTACTGACCTTAACTTCTACATTAGCTGCAGGTGGGGAACTGTGTCAAACACTTTTGCAAAGTCCAAGTATACTATATCAACAGCCATTCCTCTGTCCAATTTATTACTCACTTCCTCATAAACAGAAGATTATTAAAAAGTTAATACTTTATTAGTGTCCCCTTTGGGGAGAGTCACTGGTCTGTCCTGATGACCGTTGTCACCAAGAGAGAAAATGAGAGGAAATCCAAAAGTGTAGGGTTGTTCCAAGATTAAAAGTTCAACTGTAAAGTTCCCCCAAATTTGGGAGATGTCTGACTTCCTTTTGCGTCTCCGGAACATGAAGTGAAAGAAAATTTCCCCAATGGTACACATACAACTAAAAAGAAATCATGGTTTTAACCTTTCCATCCTTTAAAACGTTTTGTCTATTCATACACTGTAATAATTAATTAAACTGATTCTTCAATGCAAGCAGTGTAAGCGGTGGTGACTCTAGCCTTTTTGCCACCGGGAGGGTGGGGTGGCGATAAACTCTACAGGTGCTGGTCTAGCCAGCCTCCCATCCAGCTCCTGGTAACCAGTGATATCACTGGTTGCCAGGAGCTGGATGGGATTTTATCCAGAGCATCCCAGGTTGCTAAGAGCTTGGCGGGGAGATGCGTATGGACCTTACACATCTCCCCACATGGCTCTTCGCAACCGGGGATGCCCTAGATAGAATGGGGGCGGCAGGCACACTGCAGACAGCCTCAGGCTTCCTTGATTAAAGGGGTTGCCCTGGGTGTAAGTACCTAAGCTAAGCCTACTGCAGTCTGCTCTACAGTCTGTCAACCAGGTGCGCTGGTTGACAGAGAGCACAGTGAAAGAAGGATGAGCTTCTCAGTGTGCTGCTTCTCCTATAACTTCAGTCACAGAATGGGGATGGGGACCTGTAAGTAGAGGTAAAATGTCAGCACAGAAAAAAAAAACAGGTTCCTTTCTATGCTAGACGTGGCTGTGCTGTGTAGCAGAGCTGTGTAAATCTTAGGACCTGGTGGACAAAATACAAATTCACTAGGCACCAAAGTTAGATCCAGCACTCTCAGTAATTAGAATCCCTCTCTTTGTAATACAAGTCTATGTGAAAACACTTGTGATGAAGGGATGTGGTTGTCACTCAGCTATGCAAGCCTAGAGCTCTAGGGTGGGAGGATTTTAAGACATATCCAAGCACAAATCAGTAACATACAGGGGCACAGGACTATAAAGAGATTTAAATATGTGAGAATTCAGCGCAGGGAGTACATGACTCATCTCATGGTCACAGATTCAGAGCCAGGATAACTTGCTGTAAAACTAACATCATTGTTGGATGGACTCACATGTTATCGTTTCCCATGACCATAGCACAGTAATGGTAATAATAACAATAGTGAAAATTCCAACATTTAAATTACATCCTGGTCACCCTAGTACATTTCTATTAAAACATTACAAAAAATAGATTTTAAGTCCTAGGACAGGGCGTGTTTGAGCATACAACGAACACTGGACACAGGCTAAAAAGCTTGTCACTAGGCTTTATTTGCAAAACCAGAACATTAAAGGGGGTTATTCACAAAAGGGTGAAGAGTTTGGAGAAGACAGGAGAAGTGAACAATCTAGGACAACATAGCTGAACTGGAAAAACTCTCCATTTCAGCTCACTTTCCAGTTCAGCTATTTTGTCCTAGATTGTTCACTTCTCCTGCCTTCTCCAAACTCTTCACCCGTTTGTGAATAACCCACTACGTTTTGCTTTTTGCTATGAAAATAGTGCATTAATATGTCTGGGTAAATATTTCAATCATAAAAAGAAACCTAATAAAAAAAAAAGTAAACAGTGCCATGCATTGGGATTAGAGCATCAGCCCTGTACCTGTCAGTGATCACTACTGGCTTTGAGTTCAACGTGACTAATGGTGGCCATGCACTGTAAGATTTTCATTCGGAAATCGTACACGAACGGTCTTTCGAACGAAAATTGAACATTTGATGGTACATCACCATTTTTGATATTGTGATCGAAATTTTTCGATCGGTCAGGTTGGAAAATTTTCCACTGACCAAAATTGATGAATCAGTGGGGTTTTTGTTCATCAAAAATCTCTGCAAGAACACATCACATGCGCAAAAGAAAATGATTTCTGCCGTTTGCCAAAAAATTGGTTGGTTAGTATGGCTTTTGATTTCCAAAATCTACATTTGACTATGCTTTATGGGGTATTCAAGCTATAATCAAACGAGGGTTCGTGGCAGAAACGAAAGTTTTCAACTGAAAATCTACTAGTGCATGGCCACCTTTAGTGATGTGAACGGACCCTTATACACTTGCCACACAAGCCAATTTGTAACTTAATGGGGGGAATTCATCAAAACTGGAGCAGACAGAGTCTGGAGCAGTTGCCCATGACATCCAATCAGCTTCTCTCTTACATTTTCAAAACAATGGAACAAACTGAAATAGAAGCTGTTACTATAGGCAACTGCTCCAGGTTCTATCTTCTCTAGTTTTCATACATTCCCTGAACGTTTTTACAAACTACTTCACCATTTCAGTCTGTAGTTTTTTAAAACTGGCATTATCAATGGTAACCATGGCTACACTGTAGATATTCAGTATACACATTGTGTACAGAATACTCCCAAAACCTTATTTCTGCTTTTCCAAGAAGGCTTGAGGTAAAATGTCAGTCATCCTCAGCACTGACCTTAGGTTTGCTACAGTCATGCTTTCATCTTTGGTGAAATGCTTGCCAAGGGTACTATATGTCTGGAGGAATAGTGTCACTGTGTCGCTTTAAGAAAGGCACCCTGCGCGGCCCCGAAAGAATGGCAGTTTTGACCTATGTGCCATTATTTGCAATGAACAATATTTTCTTGCACTTTGGAGTGCTGCTCACCTATCTTTACATCTTGGAGGAATAGTGAGATGCAGGTTTTCTCATTGTTTTCCCATTTAGTCTGACTGAGGGCAATAGACCAACATTCAGTTGTATATCCAGACCTGTAGGGGACCATTTTAGAGATTGGGTTTACTATTAAGTCAGAACTGAAAGCAAAACTTTTTGTTTAGATTTGAATTAATTTTTTTAGTCATCTATGTCCTAATGGGGAGATTTCCCCTCATTACCTACCCGCAACAGCCACAGGAAGTAAGAGGACAGGGACTGAGGAAGGAAGAGGAATTCCATGCAACAGGAAATAAGAGGAACTCCATCCAAAGAACGGGAAACCCATGGTGGTCAGTAGAGCCCCCAGAACTAGTGTCCCAAATGGAAGATGTTCCTGTTCTGGTAACAACCTAAAATTCAGGATTTCTTTTCACTTTCAGTGATAACAGTCACCAGCATAAATAGAAAGGTTGCATATCTCTAACCCAGACAGCAATAATAACCTGACAGGTGTTCTAATCCCTCTCTGCTCTTTACAAAACTAAAAAAGAAAAAAAAGTTTAGCTTTAGTTGCACGATAAGTTCTTCAGTGCCATGTGTATCGCTATTAAATGAAAACATACTGTATGTCTGTGTATTACCTGGACTATCCCTGTATTATGTATTCCAGATTCCTTCTTTCACTCTGTGCCAAAGCATGAAGTGCCACCACTGCTAGAGCACACTATAATGAATGTTGAGCCCAATGATGCAAGTGTGTACCTGGTGCGTTACATTGGAGGCAACCATTTTAACACCGCTATCACCAGGCTTATTGTCAGACGTAAGTTCAGTGTTATATGGGTAATACATTATTGCTCGCCTGTCAAAAGGGCATGAATATCAAAAGTATGGATCTTTGAAATTACATTTTTATAACCCTAGTTAGTTATAAATAATATCAATCATATTGAAGTGCACAACATGAGGAAGCATTCACTGTAATGTCAACCGGCCGTGAAAACTGCCCTACATATACAAGTACACAGTAACATATTAAATCTTGGTTGAAATGGCCCGTTCAACCTCTTCCATATAAATCTGAATAATGTTGATCTAGAAGAAAACAGAACAAACACCACAGTAAAACCGCAGGTCACTTTTATAACTACCCTGGTCCCTGCTGACTGACACATGACCCTGATTTTGCTGGTTGCTTAGTAGTCCCTGACGATTTTAATGATGCTCTCCCTTGAGCATTGCTATGAAGAGGATGAGAGCTCAAGGTTTGTCCTTGTAAAGTCACATTACTAGATTAAGAGAAGTGTTATTCTATGGGCTACTACAGAGGTGGGCAACTCCGACAACACTGTTGTGCTTTAACTACAAATCCCAACATGGCTCTGCCTCTGGGAATCATGCCTATAACTGTCAGTCTTGCAATGCCTCTTGGGACTTGTAGTTACACAACAGCTGGAGGGCCAGAGTTGCCCACCCCTGGGCTACAACCTTCACAATATTTAAAGTGTATATATTCTAATCTAAAGGGAAATGCCCAATTTGACCTTTTATAACATAGAGTGCCTTCTAACTTTCTGAGACGAGAAAGAGGTGCACCTTCTAGCACAATGTGATCAGGCAATGGACACACCCCTACCACCCCATCAGTTATGCAAATTGTCCACCTGGGGTGTTTATAAGCACACAGAATTTTGCACTTTTCATGCACTGTATTGGAGGTGGATCACAGAACTGATCTGCATAGCACTTTGAATTTTGCACAAGATTGGAAGGAAGTATAGCTTTGGACATTTGCACAAATATATATTAGTGTATTTATAGTTTTAGATCTGAATAATTAGTTATATTAAATTTTTGTTTTAATATAATTTATTGCAAAAATGTATATTGAATAGCACAGCATATTTATTTACATTTATTATACTGATTAATTTCTTTTACTTGGGTGCTAGCAACTTTTAATTGGAAATGAAAGTTCTTTATTGTCATTGTTTTCTAGTACTCTTTGAAGTAACAAAAAGCTTTGTGTACATTGATAAGTGAACAGCAAGAACACAAATGGAACTAGCACTATAAACGTATAGTGATGCTGTACTTGTTCTATTCTCCTATGTATAAGAAATTATGTTTTGGGTATCTTATTTTTCCTCACAGGATGCAAAGCACAAAAGTGGGGACCACAATGTAATAGAACATGCCCCAGTTGCCATAATGGTGGAGTCTGCCATGATGACACAGGGGAATGTATCTGCCCTCCAGGCTTCATGGGAACAACATGTGAAATGGGTAAGTAATAGCTTATCTTCTTTGTTAAGTGGGTAAGTAATAGCTTATCTTCTTTGTTAAAAACACACAGTGCATGTGCATTGACCATACACCACAGCTGAACACAACAACTGATGCCTACTTTCACATGCACATTATCAAAATATCATAAATCAGCCCTGAAAGTGTGTTAATTCCTCTTTTGCAGCATGTGCTGAACACAGATTTGGCACAACCTGCAGAGAAACTTGTGGAGAAAAAGAGACATGCAGAGGGAATATGTTCTGCCTAGTGGACCCATATGGCTGTTCCTGTGCTACTGGCTGGAAAGGACTTATGTGTAATGAAGGTAGAATATATAAATACACAGTCACCTAATCTCTTGTTCCACCTGTTCTTCTGTACTTGACCTTTCCTCTGTGGTTAGTTCTCCAAGATGTTTGGAACAACCTACCTGCCGAGTTCCTTCAAAACTGTGTGCAAGTGTACCTAGAAGAATTGATGCTGTTTTGAAGGCAAAGGGTGGTCACACCAAATATTGATTAGACTTGGATTTCTCTTCTGCTCATTTACTTTCTATTTTGTTAATTGATAAAAATAAACTATTAAGACTTTTATTTCTGAAAGCATTCTTACTTCACAGCATTTTTTCACAACTGCCTAAAACATTGGCACCGTGCTGTACTTGTGCATACTCTATCTCCTCTCTCTTTACTCTGCAATGTCTACATACAGTATTTGTACATATGATACCCATGATACATTGATTCTTTACTGCAATTGTATGACTAATTGCCTTCATTACTTTGTCAATTACTCATTTTCTAATAAACAGCTATGCTAAAAAAACCAAACCAAAGTTACCAATAATTCACTAGGGCCCAGGAAAGACAAAGTGACTTTTATTTGTGGCCACAACCGTGCATACACTTTCTGTGACAAGAAAGAGGGATGCCATATAGTACTGCCTATATAAGCAAAGGAAACACCCTCTACTATGCCTCCAGTGATGCGTGAAGTGTTTCTTTTCCACCATTTATTTTCCTTTATAATGGCCTTAAAATAACCAAATGCAATAACTTAGAAGTTCGATAAAAGGTTAAAATGACACTAAACTCAGGATTTAAATCTTAAAAATATATTCAAGTACCTTAACTATTAACATAACTGGACCTTATTTGTGTATCACTCAGCTGTAGATCCTCAAATCATCTCTGAATTGGTCCTCACACTGTCCTTCCTTCTGGAGGGTGGCTACTTCTGTTCCCCATGGTCCCTGTGTGTGCTGTAAAGTAGTCACCGCTCCAAGCTTGCTCCTGTGATGGACTACAATCTATCAATGTTTAGTTTTCTACACACAAGGGAAAGGAGTGGCACAAAGGGTTTAAGAAATAAATTCAGCTCCTGGGTTTCAAAAACATTTGTATTAAGAATGTTGTCCATCACGGCAGTGAGCTTGGAGTGGTGGCTACTTGACAACTCACAGAGACCATGGGGAACAAAAGTAGCCACCCTCCAAAAGGAAGAACAGTGTCAGCACTAATTCAGAGATGATTGTTGATGTTAGGGTACTAGAGACAGATAGTATAATATATTTTTTAATGAGATATGTACAGTACATCAAACCAAAAAGAGGGACATCTGAAGGGAAAAGAGGGACAGAGGGATTTGGTTTTAGGTAATAAATGTTCAAACTTATTTTACTGAGCAATACATAGAACACTGCTGGTATGCAAAGTCTATCCTCCAACATCATATACATTTCAGTGTATTGTACTTGGTAAAAGGTGGATTCTAGTTGGTTACCACATGTGTACTTTTTATTACTTTTTAAACATTTTTAATTTTGCAGAGCATTGTAAAATGGTATAGCTTTAGCTATAGTGACATATAAAGACTTGAATATACACAGCGCCACCTATCTGGCAGTGCATACCTAGTCTAACATATTTTATGGAGACTAGGTGGTGGCTGGCCATGCACGCATAATATATTCACTCTCTCATCAAAAAATAATGTACAAACATTCGACACAGAGTGGAGAAAAGGGGGCCTTTGCCAGTGTTTTTCGGTGAAAAACACTGGCAAACAGTTGTAAAAATAAAATTCCGACTGCTGTATACTGAATGCTGAACGTGTTTTTGGGGCCATGCCCCCTACATCAGAGCATGTTTGTGCACCAATATCTGTTGCAGCATATGGGTCCCTGACCAATCGGAACACAGCGCTCCGGTTACCAAGGGGACACACTTAGCAAATCAGAACCGTCACCTCCAACTCCGCCCCAGTGCGTGACGTAGCCATCTCACACGTCACAATCTATGCACAAGTGTAAAGGGAGAAAATGGGTCAGTTTGATCGTCTTAGAAGGACTTTAGATACGGATTATTTGAGTCAAGGGTAGACACTGAGAAAAAGTTCTTGGACAAAGGCTATAAAAGGGCCCACATTGACGAGACATACCATAAACATCTAGTTCCTGTGGATAAAAAAATTTTTGTGCACTGGAAACCAAAAGAGCGCTGGAGCCTAAGCTTTTGTACGCAGTATAATGAAGGTGCCTTTGGAATTTCAAAAAGGAAAAAAAAAACATTGGAGGATTCTTAAGGAAGATCCCATCTTATCTGTATCTCTCCCAAATGCCCCAAAGATTTTTTATAAAAAAACAAAAGATCATTGAAGTATGATAGCACCCAGCAGGGTGAAGTCAGCCAGGGAAACTAACAAAGGAAAAGGGCTATTTAGGCAAACTGGCAATTACAGATGCAGCTCACCTAACTGTGGGGGTTGTCCCTTTATGTGGCATATAAAGAGGCAAGTTGGTAGTTCCAATGGCACTATGTTTTCAATTAAACAATTCTTTAAATGTGGCTCACAATATGTGGTTTACAGTATTATTTGCCCTTGTGGAAAACTGTATACAGGCCGCACTTCAAGAACCTTAAGAATCCATTTGGGGGAACATAAAAGGAATATTCTCAATAAAAAAAGATGATCATTCATTACCCAGACATTTTTTGGAAAAACATAGCTCAAATCCTGAAGAGCTAAACATTTTTTGTATTGAAGGGATTCCAATGATGAGTGATGAAGGTACCAGGTTTAAGAAACTTTGTAACAGAGAGGCTTTCTGGATCTATTCGTTGAACAGTCTAACTCCAGGGGATCTCAATGAAGGCATTGAATTGGCCTCTGTGGTTTAAGTAGCATTATCTACTGTATGTTGTTTTACATATTTTTAGGATTAAATTAATGCACTTAAAACCAATATTTGTAGGTTTTTTTTCCCTACGTGGACTAGGACTGGGGATATAGGTTGTCAGGGAACTTTTAACATAATTGTTTTTTCACTTTTAACATAATTGTTTTTTAACTGATCGCTCTGTCCTCATTCATTCCCCAGTCTTTTTCAGCAGTTCAAGTCTCAGAGCCTTCGTATAAATTACTCCATAACCCTAATGCAAACTTTTTTTGCAACTACAAACAGCTGTCAGTTTCTAGCTGTTTCTTTTCTTTGCTTTTGTTCCAGCACTTTGTCTACATCACCACTAGATAAAAAGTCTAAGTAGTGAGGATTAGAAATTCATCTCACATACCACCAGTATTGTTTAAGGAATTCCTCAATTTGTTTCCTTCTTTTAGCTTTCTTTCTTCCTTCCTTCCATCTATCTTAACATACAGTATGTAGAAAGTTTACATATTTAAACAAATAACTTGTAACAACTGGTCAGTTAATAATTACATTTGAAATGTTATCTTTTTTCCGTTTAGGAGATTTAATATCTATTTTTTAATTGCACACATTGTTCCTTTAAGCAGCTAGTGTTGGACAGTATTTCCATTTAAGTATGCTTTGTAGTAATGTAGACATTACCTACATCTATTTCAGCTTGTCCAGAGGGTTTCTATGGACCTGACTGTAAGATGAAGTGCCTTTGTGCCAGAGGAACCTGTGACAGGTTCAAAGGTTGCATTTGTCCTCAAGGGTGGAAAGGGCTTCGCTGTGAAAACGAAGGTAAAGCAAGGTAACACTGTATTGTTATATATTGGTGGCAGCAGGACACTCATTGATATAATATTTTTATATTGTGCATTTGTGGAGCCTTAGCCAATTTCTACAGCAAACTGACATTTTCAGGAAATTATCTGACAGTGCATAGTTTATAAAGTGATTTGGCTATAGTGTTTCTGATAGATGTTTCAGTAAAGCCTTGACTTTTACCATTATTGTACATATGGACAATTCTTTGATTTTTAGTAATGAGGCTTCCAAAAGATCTATTCATAGATGTCCTGCTAAACATACAGTACATTTTTGTTATCACACTACCTGTACTGAGAGAAAAATGGAGGCTGCCATTGCTGACCTGCTACGGCAAATGTTTTTGTCTTGATTAGTTGTGAGTTTCTGACTGGGAACAAGCATATCTATTATCTAATAGTGAAGTCAGAACTATGGCCTACTGATATGTGCATGTTACCATAGCAGATGGTTATAAAGATATTAGGTTGTTGGAGACCTTGATGTATTGATGTTGTGGTATGCTGAATTACAGCTGATACTTTTATACCTGAGTTTACTGCTCACACTGCCGAAGTAAGATTCAAAGATGGGGTGGAGGTGCTTGCGGGGGGGACGCGGGCGCAGGAGGGAGCGCTGCCTGCTGTCAGGATGGACGAGCAGGGAGGAGAGAAGGCGCAGGTTTCAGGATGGCTGAGCGGGGAAGAGAGAGCAGCCGCTGTCATCCTGTCAGTTTCAGGATGACAGCGGCTGTGTGTGTAGCCGAGCAGAGGATCGATAAATATCAGTGACATTTACCGATCCTCTGTGTGTGCGGAACAAACACTGAAGTGATCATCTGATCAACATCCAATGCTTGTAAATAACTGGGGGACACATAGTACTATGTGTCCACCATTATGAATTTACATCACTTCCTGTTCATTCATGAATTTCTGAATGGGGAATAGCACTCACTACAGAGGCTCCTCCCCATTCATAAACTGGTGATAGTAAAATATTTTACTATCATCAGTTTCTGAATGAATGGGAAGCCTCTGTACTGAGTGCTTCCCTTTCCTCCGCACATTCTCAAACAAATTATTATGTGCCTGAACACATTTTTCGTATATTCGGGCAAATAGTAATTCATTAATTTAACATGTAGTGTTTTTTTTCGAGTACCAATGCCGATCTCGGTGCATCCCTAATACTCAGCACTTTGTATGTTGCAAAAAGGGCACAGCTTATCAACATCTAAACATCATCCCAACGATGACATATGGTGGAGAGAACATCATCATTTTGGCTTTGTTTCGCTGCCTCGGGGCCTGGACCACTCGTCCTCATCGAGGGGAAAATGAATTCTCAAATTTACCAAAATATGCTACAGGATGCCAGGGTTGATATCTGCCAACTGAAGCTTAGTAGAAGCTTAATAGAAGTTGGGTGATGCAGCAGGACAATGACCCTAAGCATGGAAGTAAATCTACCACAGACTGGCTTCAGAAAAAGAAAATGCGCCTTTTGGAATTGCCCAATCAGAGCCCAGACCTTAACCACATAGAGATGCTGTGGAATGACCTCAAGAGAGCCTACCCGGGTGTCTGACCTGAAGCATTTTTGTAAAGAGGAATGGTCAAAAATTCCTTCTGAATGTTGTGCAGGTCTGATCAAGAGCTACCCAAAGGGTTTGCTTGAAGTCATTGCTGCCAAAGGAGGTTCGACCAGCTATTAACTCAAAGGGTTTACTTACTTTTTCCTCTAGCACCGTGAATGTTTAATGAGTGTGTTCAATAGAGACATGGAAAATTAGAATTGTTTGTGTGTTATCAGCTTAAAGGAGAACTATGGGGTCAGTGTTTTCCCCCATAGTTCTCCTTAGGGTAACGGGAGGACACAAACCAGCGTCCTCCCGTTACCCTAAGCTCAGTATACCGCGAGCTACAGCTCGCGGAATACTGAGACGCCGCAGCCGGAGCGGATCCCGACGTAGATGACGGGATCCGCCCAGCTGCGTGAGTGACAGCTGGCTCTGCCTATCTAGAGGCAGAGCCAGCTGTACCCGCCCCCTCCCCCGTCCGTTCCGCTGTAGCTTGCGGTATACTGAGACGCCGCAGCCGGAGCGGATCCCGACGTAGATGATGACGGGATCCGCCCAGCTGCGTGAGTGACAGCTGGCTCTGCCTATCTAGAGGCAGAGCCAGCTGTACCCGCCCCCTCCCCCGTCCGTTCCGCCAGCCAGCGCTGGCAGATCGGAGCGGGGAGAGGGGAATCCAGCCCTCCCCCTGTCACGGCAGAGAGCCGTGACAGGATCGAGAGGTGAGCGAACCTGGTATGTGTTCGCTCACCTCCCGATCTACTGAGCCGACCTGTGACAGTCTCATTGTCACAGGTCGGCTAGAACTATGAGGTGAGTGGAAATCACTCATCTCATAGTTCTCCTTTAAGCACATTGTGTTTGTCAATTGTTGTGACTTAGATGAGGATCAGATCACATTTTCTGGAAAAGTACTGCAGAAAACAGTTCATTCTAAGGGTTTACATACTTTTTCTTGTCACTGTATACTGGCAGGATCAACAGGTATTTACAAAATGTTACAGGGGGTACCTAAAAAAGTCTTGCTGGCATGGGCAACCTACATTACATATGTAATTTTAGAGTTTGCTCACAGTTCATTTGATGTAACTTAATCTGTCTTGATATCAGCCTGTGCAGAAGCACTCACACTGGGAGAGAGGAGGGCAAGAGCTGATAAGACTCCTCTGAATGCTTATGTTTACAGGCTGGGGGTAGTGAGATGACCTATCTGTAAAAAAGTCTAGTTTTACATTTGTAGTAAAAACTCCTGTATGGTTTCCCTAGCCGCATGCTATCTGTAATCGATAGAAGTGAGTAGGGAATACATACATAACTGTACTTTAGCTTGAATAGAGATCAGCTGTCTAGTTGGGATAATATAAATCTCAGAATTGGATGGACAAAATCACAGATGCTTTGGCAGGTTAAACAGCAATCACATATAGTATGTATTTTAAATGTGTATTTTGCTCTTTGTCTGGAATTCATCTTTAAAGTCTACTAAAATACCCCTAAGTCTATAGTTTGACATCATGCTGTGTTTGGCATCTCTTAACAATTTTTACCATTTTGTACCACCCACCTTGTGAATATTTTAGTTAATATTTAACTATTTAACTGTAATTTTAACTATTAATTTAAAGATTAACCTTAATTATGACTAATTTCCAAATGCACAGACCACCAAACAAGGGAAAAGAAAATAGGGTTTCATGTTTTTCTGGGGTGGACATAAGAGTAAAACAAAACTAGGAAAATGCTATTACAATTCGTATATTTTAAAGCTTGTGCTGCCCCTCTCTAACTGTGTTGCCCTAGACACTGGGCCACATGCATCTTATGGCAAATACAATCCTAAATAAAAAGACAACAAAATGTTACATTTTTTTCAAACTTCGGTGCTACAAATATGGGACACATTTTGTTTGATGAATGTCCGATTACAGCACCTAGCATCAACATATATAAATAGTAAATAGTTTTAGACCTATATACTATATATAGAAGCATAGCACAGGATCCCAGACCATGGGAACTTGTTATATGAAGTGTTTATATATATATTGTGAACGTGACTACAGTACATAGCTCAGCATACTATGTGGGAATTTTAAAAGTAATGGCAGGGTGGAAAAACACGAAAAACAATTAGATCAAAGGCAAAATCTTGATAAAGTCCAAACAAAAACTCAAATGAAAACTAAACAATACATTTAACTATTTATGCAAAAAAAACACAAAGTGCAATCATTGAAAGTAACCAGAGTAAACCAAAAACAAAAATGTAATATATAATAGATTACCAGTCCTTAAATGTTGGTGGGGGCATTGGTTTTCACTATTCAGGCTAATAAACTTTTCAGCAATTACAGAAAATGACTGTTAATCTTGCCAGAAATGCAGTGTCCTTGTCACTTACTGTGAGCTTACAAGAAAGCACAGTTATCCTTATATTTATTATGTAAATTACATATTACATCAATCCAGCATGTAATGGAAATGAACAAGCATTACTGAAGTCCAGCTTAGGTGACAACCATGGCTTCCCTATAGATTAAAAAAAACAAAACATAGGGGTTTATTCACAAAGCAGCCGAAGGATCTAGCCGTAGCTTTGGCCGATCCTTCGGCTAGCTTCGGCACCAGGACCCCTTCGTTTCAGTAGAAGCGAAGGGCGGCTGTACGGGCTATTCACTATAGCCTGTACAGCTCCCGAACTTGGCCGAGCGGCTCAGCCGAGCCGAACGCATATGCCTCGGCTCGGCTGAGCCGCGCTGAAAGCTGAAGCTGGCCGAGCGACTGGCCATTGGCCAGCCTGCTTCTGACAGCTGGGCGGAGCCAGCCATGATGTTAAGGCTGGCTCCGGCCACTTGCAGAGAGATCAGCGTCCCTGGTTACCAGCTAACCAGGGGCACTGATCTCCAGACAGCCTAACTCTCCCTGACGCTCCGGGAGTCTCCCGCTCCCGGCCGCCAAGGAGAGAAGCACTGCTTTTTCTTTTTTTTTATTCTGACACGGAGCCGTGTCAGAATAGAAGAAAAAACAAACACATTTTTGGCCATAGGAATGCATTGCTAGATTCCTATTGGCTATTTCAATTTGCAATAGCCAATAGCAAACTAGCATTGCACCCGCCCTCTGCTACAGTTCTCCATCAGGTCCACCACTACTGATTGACAGCAGCAGAGGGTGGGTGCAATGCTAGTTTGCTATTGGCTATTGCAAATAAGCCAGGCAAAGCCACCCGAAGCCAGGCGAAGCCACCCGATGTACGGCTTATTTCAGCCGATATACGGCTAAAATCAACCGTACCAGCCTGATGTGAAAAGCCGAACAGCGTTCGGCTCACTTCGCTTTAGGTCGGTCATTCACTCGGCTGCCTATGGCAGCTTAGTGAATAGACCCCATAGACTTGGAGGGAAAGGAAGTAAGTTATTTGCAGGATCACCAGGTGAAAATAACATGTAAAAAAAGTATGCAACCACCTCATCTATGGATTGGTAAGCTGCAATGTGTTAAACGTTGTTTTGGGGTTTAGATATGCTTTAAACTTTCCTGGAGGCAGAACAATGAAAGGTGATTGGTAAACTTGCACATCATCTCAATCTCACTGATAAAAAATGTAAAAACAAAATCCAACTGAAAGACTCAACCAGACCCCATCACACATATGGCCAGATCTGGGCCAATCTCATAGCCAAAGTGCTGATAGATGAACACGCATATACTTTTAACGTTTTGGATGAACTAATTCTTTCATTAAACAAGATGTTATAATTTATAGGTGCTGGTTAAATTATAATGCCTTGGCAGACTGGGATAGAACTGAGCTTTCAACACAATCACCAATAATATCTTTACAGGGCAGTTGATTCTTATCAAAATTAAAGAAGTAATCATTCCCATTAAATGTCACCTCCATCGAAAACATATGTTCCAGTTTCAGGTGGGAACTGGTGGCTGGATTAGATACCTGTCTCAATGAGAAACTCGAAAAAGTTAAAGGGTTTTCTGCCCAGTCCCAATAGGCCATACCAAAGGCCTTACAGTTGCATTGACCATTTATTAGTTTATTTAACATTATGGAGAATCATTTAACAGAATGTGATAATATCATCTGGCCATGACAATTGGTGTATATGGGAATTTTGTTGGGGACATCCAGGCTCTAAAAATTCTAAGAGAAACAAGATACCAACATTCTAATTAGTTTGCCAGCAATAACACAAATGTGAAATATTAGTTTTTGGTAGAGTCTCCATATAATAAGAATCAGAAGAACAAAACCAAACATGTCTGTCAAAGCCTTCAGGTATGGGTCATACCATTTTAATTATCAAACAGCTTGTTTTATATTCAGTTTAATTGATATAACTGTCCCGGGTCTAGATTCAAGAATGATTTCCATCTTGCAGGTCCACCCTACATGCCACCACAGATACAAGAAATGGAAACAACATTAGAGTTGAATTCTGGGATAGAGTTTAAGCCTACTTGCAGAGTTAGTGGCTACCCAGCACCATCGGCACAAGATTTTGTTCTATTTAAAGAAGACGGCACTATGTTTCAGGTAGTTTTCAGTGTTTCTTCTTACTATTAAAATGTTTGCCTTTAGCTGAAACAAGATAGATGGAAACCGTTGTTTGCTCAATAACAGTAATAGAAATATCGTAGTTCTGAATGCATCAGAAATCAATTACAATTGTATCTATACTTGATTGGTGTATATCATTATATATGGTGTTGTCTTACTAAAGACTAGTATAAATGAATTAGCATCTTAATGAACATTACAGCAAAGTTTTTTGCACTGCCTTCACCTGCACAGTTGCTTCGCATTGATTTCTATGGGGCCGAGTCCCAAGGGATGAGATGCTGGGTAGACGGTCCCATAGAAATCTTTGGGAGGCTACTGCACAGGCATGGCCAGCTCACAGCAGCTTTGCTAGAAGGATGTAAACAGAGGCCAAGACAAAAGGGATAAGTGCACCTTTTTTTGCAGTTATCCTTTAAGTTTTAGACACTGTTTATACTTAGTAATAGTTTGGTGTTAGGGACATAAGGGACGAGTTACTGGGCACCCCATTTGAAGCATCCACCAGATGCTGAAGGGCAGTTGTTAGTATGCTGTTCGTATGAGTTATTAATAGGGAAGCTAAAAAATATATATAATTGTTTATTTATTAATAATTTTTTCCTTAACATTAAAACTAAACTCCAGGCAGGTATAAAATCACAAATCTATGCAGCTATGTAATATTAATACATCAGTAAATTTAAAGGAAGCAGTATAAAGAGGACCTCAGATTAAGGGAAGAGAGGCAGCACAAGGAACCAGTCAGGTTCTATTATGCTTTATAAAGACGATACCTCTCTTATAGGCCTCGTCTGCAATTGAAAGTGATCAGCAGATAATCGCCCAGTTTTCAGTAGGAAGAATTCTACCTCGAGATTCAGGGTTTTGGATCTACAGTGTTAAAACGCAAGCAGGGATGACTGACAAGCATGTGTATATCTCTGTAAAAGGTAAGAAAGTACTGCTGTTCTTCTCAAGCACCATTAGAAGCATGTACAGGATACATGAATTAGATTTTCACGATTCTTCCCTGTCTAGACTGAATGACAGCTACAAGTCTCTGTCTTTGTTTCCAAGTTTGTTGTTTGCTCTTTTGCGCTTGTGTACATAGGCACTTGCATTGAAGGCCCATATCCTGTTATACTGAAAACCCATTAACCTCAAAAGAAAAGGGGCCTGTGCAAAATCCAACTGGTATGTGAAAACAGTGGTAACTAATATTATATATTCCAGTTTACTGAAGCCTACTGTACTTTGCACTACATTAATAAATATTCTATGCATATGAGTCCCTACACATTGAGCAAGATGACTTTTCAAATTTCAGATTTATGCTCACTTTTAGTGGTGTTTACAATGGTCATCAATACAAATAATGAGAGTGAATCTGCAAAGCAAGGACCCGGACAGCAATAAACACCTGATAGAGGATCTAACCTTTCACACTCTTGTACAAATTGAAAACAAAATGGTTTTAGATACACTTTAAGGGTTGGCTAAAAGCTTAAAGTTAAGTGTTAGGGTATTTACAGTGTATCTAAACTTAAAACAAAAATATAATATATTGCAGCTTAGATGTGGTGAGTGCATTAGATTTATTTTTTTCACTAGATGATCCAGCCAGTAACACACTTCCAGTCATTTACTAGACTGTATCTATAGACGAATAGAATTGTCAATTTAGGCTGCTCTCCTGATTTAGACTACAAACACCTCCCACTCTTCTCATCTCTCTCATTACATAGAGGGGCATCCCTTTGTAGTTCACAGGACATAACTGAGAATCTGGTAACATTGTTTGAGCTGTCAGTCCACAGTGAGTTACAAAGACACGATTTATATGTTTCTAACATGATCTATGGGTGTTTTTATTGTACTTCCAGAAAATGTACTTAGCCGTTAAAACGAAGCATAATGCAGCCACTACATCTAAGGACTGTTATGTTCTTGATTTTAGATGTACTTTAAGGGTTGGGTTAGCTTAAGTGTTGGGGTCAGGATTAAAGTTACAGCTGGGTTATGGGTCACAGACATTTTAGGTGACTGTGTACCTTTCCACATTTTTAGTGTTAAAAGCCTCACTCTGCGAACTACTGTAGGAAAAAGTCTAAAGCTTCCTTTGCAAATGTATTGTTTAATATGCAGACAAAGGAATCTCTAAAAATTAATCTTGGCACATTATTAAAGGGGTTCTAAACCCTCCCGTTTTTTTGCCTATATCTACTGCCATCAAGCAGTTCCCTAAATAGTTTTACATTTTGCATTTCTGTTCTGTGCACCATATATATATTTTTTGTCATTCTTGTCTTATTCTGTTCAGTCGCTCCCTATCCACAGTATGGACCAAAGCTAAACAAAAGTGGACCTAACTATCTTAATATCTATGTTAATATTGATTCCTATGGAGGAGATGGTCCGATAGCCACAGCTACTGTACTGTACAAACCTTCTAAGAAATCTACTCGATGGAATCCCCATACTGGTAAGAAACAGTGAACTTGATACAAAAGCCTTACATTTTTTTAAACAGTTGATTCAGGGGAGTAGGGGGAGAGAACAGGTGAGAATGTAAGGATGGGCAAGGAAAAGAGAGGGGAACACTGCAACAGAGAAACCACCAAACTTGAATTCAAAATAGTTTATAAGCAGGGCTCGAAAAATCCACTCGTCCACTCGTCTGTGACGAGCAGACAGTGGAGCCCGACGAGCAGCTTCCCTGTGACAGGAGATCAAAGTTTATAAGCATAGGTTACTTAGAGAGCCAGAGGGATCTGTAGGCTGTAAGGGAGATTCTGTTGAAATGATATTCACTAGTGAGGGGAAGGAAAAGGTAAGGCGTATATGTTAAGAAACTAGATCTGACATCGGTTTAGGAAACTAGCAGTCTTGGATACATAGCAGAAGAGCAAAACAGAATCCAGCCTGGCATACCCTAATATATGAATCCATACAATCGTTGTCACCTGCCATCAAGCTCTCCATGTGCATCAATCCATATTAGCCTCTCCAGTAGATGGTTAAACATTTGTAATGACTATAGCACAAAAAAAGTAAAACTGTCAAGTTAGAAAATGAATTAAATTGTAAAATAAACTGTACAAAAAGTGCATAAAGTTGCTAGGAAGCCATAGCTGACAGGAGCTGCTCTGCGGTCTACATCCGACACAGATGCAGACCATGGAGTCAGGTATGCAGTCTGCGATCACGTGCCTGACATGTCACCTGGCTGCTGGGCCACATAGTACCGGCTCGCGGGCCGGAGTTGGGCCACGGACTGGTACTTGGAGACCCAAATTTCCACTCACTTTATTCCACTCAATTCGCCCTCACTTTATTTTGACTCGCCAAATGCGAGCAGGCGAGTGGAAATTTACCATTTCACTATGTTACATAAAAGTTACATTCATTTTGATATGTTTCTAATTTTTCATTTTGTCTTCCAAAAAACTCCCCTAGGAAATAAACGTGTATGTATCTGCCACAAAATGTAAGCCCTCTCTTTCCCAAAATAAGAAAATATAAAAGGGTGGGGTAGACCAAAGCAAATGCAGTGAAAATAGATAAGGCCGGCGATAGTCTTCCTAGCCATTAGTTTAAAGCTTTTTAAGCAAATGTTAAATTCACATACAAAATGTGTCCCTACACTTGGGATTAAGATGTGGTTGTATTACATTTGAATAAAGCCTTGTATGAACATTACATAGGTGTTGGAGAATTTCTGATATATAGACAATATTTGATGTGATTATAGGTATGAGTGGTACAAGTGGTTAAGGTAATCCAAAACGGAGGTATGTAGTAATCTATGTGGAAAACTGACAAGGAAAGCCTGTACAGCTTTAGTCAGTGTAAACATTGATTAGTTAGGTGTGGTCTGCTGTTCAGACATAGGTTTTAATTTTTCTTAAGGCAGTGAAAGTTCTGAGTTAATGAATGTTATAATAGTGCTGTCGTTTTTGGCTACAAAGTCAGTTGACATTAAAACTTTCTTCATTACAGTCTTAGTTCCTTCTTTAATGATTGTGTTCTTTCTTTTAGTTCCCCTAACTGAAAAAATTGCAAAACTTGAGAATCTGGAGCCAAGAACTGAATATAAGGTCTGTGTTCAGCTAAGCCGCAAAGGAGATGGAGGTGTTGGTCATCCAGGACCTGAAAGTCTATTCACCACGGAGGCATTTGGTAGGATTTTAATAAATTGCATCTATTAAATGCCTTTCAATAAACTCCAAATATGAATGAGCCTTATAATATTGTATGTGTCCTCCACTAATACAATCATTGTGGTCTTTATAAGATCACACAAGTTTTCACGTCGTGTTTCTTGTGGCTATCTTCCTTCTGTTATCTATAAACCAAGCATTGCCAGCCAGAGTCAGCATCCACATGCTGATGTTGTTGCCCAGTGAGCAGGAAGGTAGTACCGTAAGCTGTACAACTGAATGGACAAATTGCTATGTCTTCTGCCTTACAATGCAGTGTTGGACTGGTGCCTGTATTACTAAGTATTATACAGTTTATTGCTTTGGAAGCAATAAGGTAAGCAGGTACTTTAGTGAACAGTTGATGACTGACGCAAGTGAATTAATAACTTCACAATGGTTTACGAACAAACAGTGAAGTTGTTCTTTTACATTGAACCCTTTTGCAGTACGAGCCAACCACAAATGGGATTGGTGTTTTTAGGTAAGGCAACCTGCCCCCACATCCATCTTCTTGCAATCTAGATAGGGGAAAACACTTAGGCCCTGTTCACACCTTTACGTTTTGTCGCGCGTTCAACGCTCTATGAACGCTCTACAAAACGTACAAACTTGAAAATCTGATTGTTTTCTATGGGTATGGTTCACACCTTTCCGTATTTCAGCCAGTCTGAACTTGCTACAAAACGGCCTACGCCCAAAGAAGTACATGTACTTCTTTGGGGCGTTTTGGTCTCGCGTTTCCATTGGGATACAGCCAAGTAGCCCTCGGAAACGCGCGTTTGTCGCACGTTTTTTTTTACCGCAAATCGCGGTAAAAACGCGCGATGCGAAACACGCATATTCAATACGCCTAGGTGTGAACCCGGCCTTAAACCTCCTGTGTCTGCTGCAAAATCCTGCTGGCAAAATCAGCATCACTGGTTTTAAAAGTCAGCTGACACTGACTCCTGCCCCCATCATTGCTTCATGAGCTGCCACACTGCTTCAACCTAGAATGTGTTTCTCAATAGTTCCCAAACTGGAATCTCTGAGGCATAGGTACAGGTTGTTTTTACTTACCGGTTCCCTGGTGTACCTTCCCTGGTATACCAGTACAATAATATATGTACTTAAGACTACCTGCTGGATCCTAGGTCTTAAGAACCAACCCCTGAATTTGACATTACTTTACCTTTTCTGACTATCTTGATCTATCAGGTACAAGAAGTTGCTTATTGCTTCTAAAACACATTACATAGTTACATAGTATTTGGGGTTGAATAAAGACATAAGTCCATCAAGTCCAACCCATAGGTCCGCGCATCATCTCTTTCTTAGGAGTTATTCTTATTCACTTTTGTTTTATATCAGTTAAATTATAGGGTGTCTATCAGACTTTTTGTTTTTCCTTTTCAGTTATTTAAGATGTATTGTTCTAAAGTTTAAATCCCTGGTGATTGCTGCTTGTCTACATTGTTAATTAGCAATCATCGACTAACATGCTTTTTGTATTTCCCTATCTCTTTTAGGTCTTCCCCCTCCAAAAGTTATCAGTCTGACACCTAACAACCAAACATCTCTAAACTTGACTTGGCTGCCCAACTGGGAAGGCTCTGAAGAAGAACATGTCAATAAGGCTGAGTGCTTCAGTCAAGACACTCCTGAAACCCCATTTTGTAAAAAAACGCCGGGAAATAAAACTGGAATTATTATAGACAACCTCAAGCCAAGGACATTATACCAGTGTAGGGTGAGAGTAGACACAAAGTCCCAAGGTGAATGGAGTGAGCCAATGTTCGCCTGGACATACAGTGATCGTAAGTTTCACAGTGTATAAATAGGTTTCAAACCTTTAAGCTGAAGAACAGTTTCTTTCAAAATGCCGTGGTTATTAAAATCATGATTTGTGCAGTGCTCTCAGTGGTGTAGAAATAAGGTAAGCAGAGGCTGAGATTGCTCTTGGAGTATTCATGGGGCCATATCCAAGTGCCCTCTCCATTGCCATCACCTTGTCAAGTGTGTGGCTAAAACAAGTAGGAAAAAGTAGAAAAATACTGTTTGAGGTGGAAGGGGGGAGTTGGCTTGGTGCAAGTAAGGGTAATGGAGGTTCAAAGTATTAGGTAAAGGAGATAATAGGGTGGTCATGTTAGTGTTGCAGAAGCCTTTTTCCGTCAGGTAGAAATACCAGGAGACGTAAAACAGAAACAATAGTTTTCTGCACAGATTTCTTTAATGCTTTTGTATAAATGAACATTCACACACATATTGCACATTATTTTAACCTGCTATAGAATGATTTTCACATATGTATCGTTACATCATAAAACTTTTGTTACTTCTTGCTGTTCTGTACTTTGAGTAGTTCCTCTTCTTTGTATTATTATTTTAGAATTGATGCTATTTTTTATTCCTGTTTACAGAGGTTCCACCACCACCCTCAAATATCAATGTACTTAATGTTACGGATTCAACAGCCATTGTCACCTGGTCCATTCAAGATGGTCATTCGATTTCAACTATCATTATCCGCTATAAAAGCTTTGGTGACACAGAGTACAATCATGACATCAAGATTAGAAATATAACCATTAATCAATACCAGTTGAAGGGGCTTGAGGCCAACACACCTTATCTGATTGAACTATGTACTGAGAACAACGTTGGACAAAGTGTTAATAATCCAATCCGAGATGTAAAAACCCGTCAAGAAATCAAAGGTGAAGTTTGCAGATTTTAAATTTAGTCAAGCATTGAACACTAACTTGAGAATTATTTAACAATAATCATGAATGCTGCTTTGCCGCCGTAAGTCTGTATATAGGGCATATGAAGTACCATTTAACCTAATAATCAAAGATACAACCAAAACTTTAATGTAGAAGGAGGCATAAAAAGCAGACAGGTGAAAACATGTATAACAGTTCAAGTAAAAATGCACTGTTTATTTTTACTACTAGAGATGTGCAAGCAATGCTGTAGATATAAATCACTGGTACATATAATAATTTGTATAAAGCAGATATTATATCTGCTGAGTATCTACAGTCTGCGGATATCCACAGAAAAAGTAACTGCAAAACATTATGCATGTATTTATCTAAAACAAAGTTAGCTAGGTCATGTCATGCTGGCCGCATCAGCACCAATTTATCTTTGTATATTTTTAGATTCAGTTATAGTTTTCTACTGTAGTAAAGAATCACATACATTTTTACTGTTTAGCTCTATACGATCCAATCTCCATTTGCAATCATAAAGGTGATGATCAAATGGACAGTAAACAGATTTGTTTCCGGTCTGTTTTCTGCTTAGATTACCACACACTACAACCACGTGAAAACTTTTACAACCTATTTGATCAATTTAGTTAAAGGAGAACTATGGGGTTAGGGCTTTTCCCCATAGTTCTCCTTAGGGTAATGGGAGGACACAAACTAGCGTCCTCCCGTTACCCTAAGCTCAGTTTACCGCGAGCTACAGTATACGCGGTATACTGAGACGCCGCAGCCGGAGCGCATCCTGACTTAGATGACGGGATCCGCCCAGCTGCGTAAGTGACAGCTGGCTCTGCCTATCTAGAGGCAGAGCCAGCTGTACCCGCCCCCTCCCCCGTCCATTCCGCCAGTCAGCGCTGGCAGATCGGAGCAGGGAGAGGGGAATCCAGCCCCTCCCCCTGTCATGGCAGAGAGCCTTGACAGGATCGAGAGGCGAGCGAACCCGGTATGTGTTTGCTCACCTCCCGATCTACTGAGCCGACCTGTGACAGTCTCATTGTCACAGGTCGGCTAGAACTATGAGGTGAGTGAAAAGCACTCACCTCATAGTTCTCCTTTAAGAGCGATCTGAAGATTGTCTACACATGTTTACATTTTATAGATAACATTTCTTGAACAAGCAGACTGAAAAAGCTAGGCCAGTGTTGGCCAACTTTGTTGATATAGGGGGCCTCAAGTGCAGCCCCTGACATCACCAAAGGACCGCACATAATATTAAGTAAATGCAGAAAGCTGTCAGAAACTGCAGACATGCAAATGGAGATTGTTTGAGACTATGGCAATTCCACAATAGATGGCTAGATACTGTGGACATGTTACAGGAACTGGTCAGAGACAGCAAACATGCTGTAAGAGATGTTTCAGACTGGAGACATTCTAGGCAACAAAGGATTGTACAGATAACAACAGACTACTAGAGATCACTGCTTTTATAGCTCTTTTACAAATCAACGCTTCCAATTTGTACACCCTACATCCACCCTAAAAATTACTTATCCTATTTGGTATTTTTCAGCAAGATCCATTACAAAAGAGCAGAGGAAAAAATAAACATAAAAAGAGATAGGGGATGGACAGCACAAAAAAGTAAGATAATGTAAAAGAAAGAAACCAAACCATTTACAGGTTTAAGTAAGCACCAGAACACAGAATACTCTCTTCATGGCCTTGAGTACCACACAATAAGTTCCTCAGGGCTGCAGGTTGGGGACCAGGAGGCTAGGCAATCAATACCTTTATGGTGGTCTACCTTTTTGTCAGGTATTAAATGTTTCAAAGATTGATTATTAATGGCTGTAAATACTGTATGGTTGAACTTTTTAATTCATTTTAATAAGGATTTATTTGTTTCTCTCACTCAGGTGTTCATGAGCCAAAAGACAACAATATGCTCCTCATTGCTATTTTGGGCTCTGCTGGTATGACCTGTCTGACAATATTACTTGCATTCCTAATTATGCTGCAGCTGAAGCGAGCCAATTTCCAGCACAGAATGGCACAGGCTTTCCAGAATGGAGTGGTGGGTGTTCTCAACAGTGTGTTTTGTATGTTGATTGCAGGACCCTAATATGAAAGTTTCTAATGCCTTGGTGGACATTTACCAAATGGTTGTCAGTTAAAGGGAACTTGTTGTGAAGGATATTGTCCTTGACATTTGAAAAAAATTGTTTCCTAGCTATTATGCTGATTTACTGCCTTTAGTACTTCCTCAGTCACTAACCAGAAGGAAAGCCTCCATTTGTTCTCAGTAGGACTTATATTATATTCTGCCAACATAAGCCAAGTATAAGGCTTGGCTGACAAAAAATAGTAATGCCTTCTAATTGAGATGCACCGATACCCATACGAGTATCCGTATCGGTGCAGATCCTAGGCATTTTCACGAGTACTCATACTTGTGAAAATGCCTTGATACTAAGCGCTGATATCGGTCCTTAACATTTTTAAATGGGTTCGCTTGCTGGGACCTCGGCAGCCTTGTGGGGACCTCCCGAAGGCTGTATTTTACAGCGCCGGTCGGACGCACATTGCCTCCTCCGCCCTGTCGCCCATGAGACACTGAACAGCCTGGTGAGACTCTGCACACAGCCCTGGGGAGAATGCACAGCTTGGAGTCAGTGGCAGAACTACCAGGGTCACAGCAGCTGCCGCTGCGACTGGGCCCTGGCACTCCACCACTGTCCTAAAATCATTAGTATGTATTGATTTAGAAAAAATGTCACATGACAGAAAAAAAGGGCTTTGCAATTGGTATCGGTGAGTACTTGAGGAAAAGTATCGGTACTTGTACTCAAACTTGAAAAAATTGTATCGGTGCATGCCTACCTTCTAACATAAGGTATTCAGATATCATAATTTTTCCACAAATAATATGGTTTTAGGATGGTGAAGACATGTAGTTTTTTTTCCTGTAACTCGCACAGCTAATAATGCTAAAACAACACAATAAAAACACACAACCACTGCATTTGCCATTGCTTTTCATTTAGCCCAACTAAAGACAAAATAATTTTATGGTTTGGGTGGGCTGAGTAATGTGGGGAAGGGTTAAAACCTTTATCAGGTTCTAAGATTGCTATTTTACTGTTGGCTGCATCCCTATAGAGAGATTCTGTTTGCTATCTGACTCAGTGACTACAAAGGAAATAAGGGAAAACCACCTGAGTGGGAAGACGGCAGTAAAAACTTTACAAACATACTGACATTTTGCCACCGTCTAAAACAAAAAATAATGTTTTCACTGACAATAAGTTTTATTATGTGAAACTTAAAGTGACACCAAACTCACAAAATAAAACTTAAAAATACATTCAAGCACCCTAACTATTAATAATATTGTTCTCTATTTGTCTATCACTGGGCCGTAGCTCCTCAAATCATCTCTGAGGGCTTGTTCACACCACTTCCAGTGCTTTCCAGCACAATTAGCTGGATTGCATCCTGGCCAGCTCCCTGCATTCTGGGGCGGGAGGCGGCATGGTGGATCATTCAAGTCAATGGCACCGCAGCCACGCACCCCTGCCCTCAATGCGATCACCCGCACCAGAACGCGTGGCACATCACTGGAAGTGCTGTGAACAAGCCCTGAATTGGTGCTGACACTGTCCTTCCTTCTGGAGTGGGGCTACTTTTGTTCCCCACGGTCCCTGTGTGTTTTGTAGAGTAGACACCGCTCCAAGCTAGTGATAGACTATAATTTCAATACAAATTAGCTAAATTTGAGTTTGTAGTCCATATACCCCACTACATTTTTGTTAATAGTTAAAGTTTGTGAATGTATTTTTAAGATTTAACTCCTGAGTTCCAATTATAATAATACAATTATTAAGGTAAACTTGAAAATAAACTGATTTAACTTGATGTGCTCTTCTTTAGAGAGAAGAACCTATAGTGCAGTTCAATGCTGGAACACTCAACCATTTAAGGAAAGCTAAGAACAGCCCCGACCCTGTAGAGTATCCCGTCTTGGAATGGAATAATATTAAGTTCCAGGATGTGATTGGAGAGGGGAATTTTGGGCAAGTTCTGAAGGCTCGTATCAAAAAAGATGGCTTACGCATGGATGCTGCCATCAAAAGAATGAAAGGTAAAGTATGTACAGTAGTGTTTGTTTGCAGGAATGTGACCAACAATGTGCTTATAACAATCCTGTTTTTTTTCTGTTTTGTAGAGTATGCATCTAAAGATGACCACAGGGATTTTGCAGGAGAGCTTGAAGTGCTGTGTAAACTTGGTAGTCACCCCAATATTATTAATCTCCTGGGAGCCTGTGAACATCGAGGCAAGTACAGTATATATATATATATATGTAAAATATCCCTTATATATGTGCTTTATTCACCTAAATCTGCAGTAATTTCCTATCTTCCATGCACAGGGGGTGGAATCTATTCATGTCATATTTGTGAATTAACAGTTAATGCTTGCAGTGCAGTTTGAAGTGGCATCCACTGGCAGTAGAGCAGTGGGGTCTCACTAAATTGTATGGTACTGCCCATGTCATACCTCCATAGAACTTATATTTTATTTTATATATTTTTTACTGGAGTATTTTTCCAAATTTTCTATAAAGTCTCTAATGTGCCCTTATTCTATTAAGAATGCTGCTCCAGAAATTATGCAGCGAAATACCTATACATATGATTGGAATTTGTTGTGTGTTAATACTTCCATTTATGTATTTGCCATTTGTCAGCAATAGATCTCCTTAAGGGAAACTAATAGTTTTTGTGTTATTCATTATTGTATAAGATGCAGCATGAGCAACCTCTGCCTTGATACATTTCAGTAGAACAGTATCTGTGCATTCTTTCACTAAAATAGTGTTTAATGTATATTTTTGTGTTGTATTTTTATGATTTGTAAAAAAAAAAAGGCTTATATATTGAGATAGCATACTATTTGTCGGCATATTTTGGCCCCCTTTAAGTCTCACTTATATTTACCTTTATTCCATTTTACTAGTGGTATAGGTTTTTAGTTGTAGACTAATTTTTCTGTTCTCCCCACAACATAAATGTACACAATGTAAATATCTTCTAGCATGGAGGCTTAGTAATCAGTACTTGCTATTGCTGGGACCTGGATTTAGTTGACAGAAAGGATACCATCAGTTACATAGTTAGACAAAAACCTACAAGACAGAGGAAGGCATTGTCCAGTTTGCTCTATCAGGGAAAACCTCCTTGCTGATCCCCAAACTAACTTAGATAACTCACTGGTTTAACACTTTACAATGTTATTTCTTAAACATCTGGAGTTTGTGTGCTTTCTTTTCCAGTGTTTCTACCCTAATTCAATATCTTACTTGTGTACCAAAAGGGGAAGCAGAGGTAGGGACTGATGTGAATGTGCAACTACAGTATGTAAAGCACTGCGTACATTTTCGGTGCTAAATAAATAACAAGTAATAATAAAAACTGCTTCCAGACCCATGGCATCAGGATCTAATATTTGACTCTTGATTCTCAAGTTTGTAATTACATCTCTATGTGGCAAGACAGTTACTTAAGAGTGTGTGTAGTCAGAAAATAGTAGGTGAGGAGTGTAATGTTTTACAATGCTAAATTCATCATTGTAAAGTAATCAGAATATGAGCTTGTCTCAAGTGAAATGCAGAACTTAAAAATGAAGAATAAGAATAGAGTGTATATGAGAGCCATTTTAGGGGATAACGTTAGAAATAGATGGGAAAATGTAAATTCAGAACCATGGACAGGGTACCCCACTATTGTGGGAGTTCTGCTATTGAAATTAAATCCATAGAATTCTTATTTCAAAGTATAGTTTGTTTGGTTAATATCTTTACTGCTTCATATGTGTTGTCATTTATTTTCTACAGGCTACTTGTACTTGGCAATAGAGTATGCCCCTCATGGCAACCTATTGGATTTTCTCAGAAAAAGCAGAGTACTGGAGACAGATCCAGCATTTGCAATAGCTAACAGTACCGCGTCAACTCTGTCATCTCAGCAACTTCTACAGTTTGCAGCAGATGTAGCCCGAGGCATGGATTACCTAAGCCAAAAACAGGTTGGCACAGTGCATATTTTAAACTTTATTAAAGAAATATATGGAGATAGCTCTTTGGGAAAGCAGATATAAATGATCTTTACATTACTAATTTATAATACATTGATTTATTGGTAGATTAGTAAATCTAATAGTACACAGGTGCATAAGAATTCACCATTCTATTTGAATATGTGTGCGCTTATTGTGAACTGGCATGCACAAATTCAAATGGGTTAGCAAATCCAAGAGTCCACCAGCAAATTGGCGGATAGGCATAATCTATGTTAATTGCCTAGATATATTATCTCCACAGATACCAAATGAACCATTAGGATTATGTTACGCTGCAGACAAATGTTCTCCTTCAACAGACTCTGGGCATTGACAAATTATCCTGAGATACGTTGGTACATTACCTATTTTAAATTAGGAATCTGAAGGCAGTGACATAAGTGTTGGTATTTGGATCTGCTAGCTGGCCCATTTTCTTAATAGACCCCAGAAGAGATTTCATGACTTTTAGGAAACAAATCATTTTATATCAAGGACTATGGCCCTTACTTGAATGTTGGTCAATTTACCAATATTGGCCTTCAAATTCAAAAAGAGCCAAGCAGTAAAAATACAGCAAACACGATGGAGACCATTTGGTTCTGATGAAGGGGGCGTGCCCCAGAAACGCGTAAACCATTTATCAATACAGGGATCGAGGTTTTTTATATGTATATATATTTATTTATATAAAAATATCATCAAAGAACAAGAAACAGACCCATGCCATCCTTATTAAACTAATGCACACACATTTAAAATACTGTACATATATACTGTAGATTACATTTAAATATATTCATTTTTTCTATCTAGCGAAATGACTGCGCTTTTCTTTACGTTCAGTGATGTACCTAGAGATCATTATGTTTTGTCTTTTTGCTAGTTTATACATCGGGACTTAGCAGCCAGAAACATTTTGGTTGGTGAAAACTACATTGCAAAGATTGCTGATTTTGGGTTATCTCGGGGACAGGAGGTGTATGTAAAAAAGACAATGGCAAGTATCCTAGCCAAAAATGATATAAAAAATATTTTACTGCATGCGCAAAAAATCAAACAATGTTTTCATTTTAACCTAAAACACTTTATAGAAAAAAATTACAAATTTTCATGTACTTTAGTAGTATGTTAAGCTTCATGTATTTATTCTGTAAAGCTAAACTTTCCTCTATCATACACAAGCCTATTTAGAGAGATTAAAGTAGTTATTAGAGATTATAGCAATGTTCTATCTGAGGTGAAGTGTAACAATAAATAGATTTCAGCACTTTAATTTGTGGGGATTTTGAACTAGATGTACTATAGTTCAAGCATAGGTGCACTTAATAAGATACCTTAGAACACCACCCCCTCTCTTGTACAACTCTATATTATACTGTAGATTTCCTGTAAAGCAAGATGTATATGAATGGCATAATATATGTGATCATTTTATTTTAGGGAAGGCTCCCAGTTCGATGGATGGCAATCGAATCTTTGAACTACAGTGTTTATACGTCAAACAGTGATGTGTAAGTAGATTTTAATTGTAGTCAGCCATATATGCTACATTGTTACAACTAACACCTAAGAGGTTTCATGCAGTAACGATTAGTGGGATTTACCAGGAAGACCTTCTTTAAACCTGTATAAAGCTCATTTTACTAAAATAAGTAAGTCTTGATTTTAAAAGTTGAGGCAGTGCTACTGATATCACAGCCTTGTTATTCAGATGTAATAGTACCTGATAGGAAAACCTGAACTCGGATATAAAGAACAAGCAGACCTGTAAAATAAAAGCAGCACTAGGAATCCTTGTTAATAGAATACTTCCTTAACCCCATCATTATTTTGTTGTACAAATATTTTTATTGCAACAGAACAGAATTACAGATTATACAGTAGAAGTAAGGTCCAGCAGGTTTATACAATGGAAAATTGACTTAGAACAATACAATGGCGTATCAGTGCATTTTATAAAGTCATCCAGTATAGAGCCAATGAAGGATATCCATATAACATTGATTAAAGGGTATGTCGAAAACAAAAGCCCCCCGTACAGAAACTAAAGTGGGACATAGGGACCGTAACGGTCTGTGTATAATCACCGGGGGTGGGCTAGCAAACCCCATCATTATTTTGAAGGGGGAAACAACTCAAAGTCCTTGGCTTTCCATGTCCTGCAAAGGGTATAACATATAGTATCTTGCTCTGATTTACTCTAAGCAATAGTGTTAGCAAATTAGTTTGGTAACGCGCCCAGCAAACCTGGGAGTTGAAGAGAAATATGTGCTAAATTCTCCATTTGAAAATGGTGGTTGCATGGCTGCCGGTATTACTCTAACTTCTATGGCTGCATACTTGTTTTGGGTCAGTGACTCAAAGTACATTGAAACCACCCCTACCAGGCTATTTTCAATAAATTGCACAGGCAACAAAGCATTGAGTCCAATGTGTAGTACCACAGAGCAAACCATCAGATTTCATATCATCAAAGTCTCTCTAGTGCAGGAGGGATTCCTATTGGTTTATATGCAACTACACTTGGCACTTGGTTCCTTTTACTGTCTTTCTGAAGAAGATCTACAGTATGGGCTCTGTATAGATATCTAAATAAAATTAATAGTTAGTATATATCAAGCATTTGCAGATCATCGTGGTTGGCCAAACTAATGATCACCATAAAACCAACCAAAATCTGGTTGCCATTTGTTGGCTGTACTTCTACATTTGGTATTTTAATTTATTTGCTTTGATAGGTCGTCTTCTAAATAGATGATTCACAGATATGATGTGTGATAGATGAATTTTAGCCATAGGTTTTACATACTTGGACTTCTCTGCCCAACAATAAAAGTAGAATAGCAAAGGATCAGACCAGGCATAAGCTTAATTTAGCAGGTTTAGTGATATCAGCTGTAGCTGGGAACAAGCAACAAGCAGTTCAAAGAACAGAAGCTTGCGGGATCCTTTTTATAAGAAATTTTACAATAGAACCATATGGGCTTCCAAGGCCTATGTCACTGCAACTAACCATACATCTGACCTCCTTGCAGTTTATTTCCCCTAACTTGATCTAGGGGTGCCCGTAAGGTAGATCGGGATCTACCAGTCGATTGCGTTGCGATCACTGGTAGATCGCGATGTCCTCTTCCTCCTGCCCGTGGGGCTTCTCTGAATCCACGCTGCTCTCCCTATCTTTATGCAGCGGGGATCCGAGAAGAAGTGAAGGAACCACTGCAGGCAGCAGGGGGCGGAGGAGGGAGCCGCTGTCACAGAACTAAGGCCGAACGGTGAGGAGAGAGAGAGAGACGCTCGGCTAAATCCTGGAGGCAGGTCGCTGGTGACATCATTCGCCTGTTGGGGGTGCATGTTTTTTTTTTGCCTCGGGCACAAAAGGAGCTGCCTATGCTCCCGCGGTGCTAGTGCGGCTGCCGGCTAAATGTGTCAGATGCTGCAGATGGAAAGGGGCAGGACACCTCTCCCCATGTGCAATGTCGGCCACACGAGCACCATGGGAGGACAGGACGCCGGGGCCTGCATTCTGGTCCAGTGCGATCTGCAAAAATAGTGCTCACAGCATTTTTGCGGATCGCACATGGCCTGACACATGCTCACGTGCTGTGTGTGTCTTGTATGCTCTTAGGGTTCATCTTAAGTTCATCTGTTGAGCGCATATGTCTGTATAGTGCTCTGCAACTTCTAGGCCTCTAACTATTACATAATATTAATAAGAATGTATATGCAAATTAATATCAACAATATGAAGTGTATAAGTTAATGAACCCAATTTCACAACACAATTAGTTTGTAACATGTTGACTGACGATCTTCATTTTGTTTTTATAGATGGTCATATGGTGTTTTAATATGGGAAATTGTCAGTTTGGGTAAGTGTAGCTTTAACACAGCACAAGGATTCATTCTAAATGGATAGTTTTTACCTGTGAATGCACTGTAGTCATATGTTTTGCATAAACTTTAGTAAAGCATAGTTTTATTTAAAATATGTTGCAGTTGCAATATGGGACTCTCTAGCTGTTTTGAAATTGTAAGTCCCATCATACCCTGTTGACCACTCATATTTTACATTACAGTATTCGTTTTGAACAAAATGTTGAAACAGTTTGTGAACGCTCATCTATCATGACTAGTAGAACCCCCTTTATTACCAATAACCTCAACTAACGGCTATTAGTACCTAGACACGTGCAGTGGTTAAAAAGTATTCTGGCCTATTGCTGTATACAAAACAGTGTCATCTATATTTTCAGAATATAACCCCAGTATTTCAGGGGCATTGTATTTAGGATTACGACCTGGTCATTTTAAAACTTTTTGCATTTCTTCTGTCACTCTGTTGTTGCAGTTCAGGTACTATGATAGCAAAGCAGCCCCATAACATCATACTTTCTCCATCACACATAGCTGGGTCAAGGTGTGTGTGTGTGTGTTTTCACTAAACATGTTGTATACAGTTACCTAAAAGTTAACTTTTGGCTTGTCTACATAAAGAACATTGCTGCAGTAATGTTTACAACATCCAGGTGTTTTTTTTTGGCAAACAAGATAGGCAGCATTATTTTAGAGCAGTGGTTTCCTTCATAGTAATAGTATTAAAGATTATGAAGTCGGGTTTTAGTCAGTTGCCAAAGAAAACAAGAGCTGTAATTTTGATGCCTGTTATGAACTTTGAAGATGAATTTATCTACAATTCTTATAGCTACAAAGGTATAAATGTGCTTGAAATGCTTGTTTAGAATATGTGAATAATTAAATAGTCTATTGAAATGCTATAAACTTTGTTACATGTATTTTAAAATAAAATGAGAGTATATATATTTAGAGAGAGAGAGAGAAAGCTATTGCAATAACCTGACTTTATCTAACCTGCAGGTGGGACTCCATATTGTGGCATGACATGTGCAGAACTCTATGAGAAGTTACCACAAGGGTACAGACTTGAAAAACCTCTCAACTGCGACGATGAGGTGTAAGAAAAGCATAATATTTTGAACATTGCTTTGATATTAATTACTTATAATAAATGTATTACATTTAATAAATTCCATTTTGTTACAATGCAGTTTACAAGAACTCCTATAACTACCATTTAAATCTAAACTGGCCCAATAACATAACTTTAAAGTATAACAAACCTTGATGTGGAATAATAGTTTTAATGGTGTTCTCATTCCTCTAAGTGTCCAATTGGTGCCTGCTCCTCAGCATGTTACAACATTTCTGAAGCAGAAAAAAAATCTCCACTCCAATTATATATTAGGTGCTCCCCTGTTTGTTTTCTAGCAGTCAGCATGACATAGCAGAGGGGATGGGCAAAGACACAAACAGTTTTTACTTCACAAGAAAAGTCGGCAAACATATTAAGTGGTACATTCGGTAGTTTCAACAGCGCAATTCAGAACTGTACCTTAATTATTCATTATAGTGCAATGTTTTACTTAGATTGCTGCAGTAAAAATACAGTATACATATTCTCAAATCCCTAAGAAAATAAAATGTAATCTAATTTACACTTTAAACCTGAAAATATGGAGAAATATGGAGCCATTCAATTTGTTTGCCGTCTCTGGTTCAAAACATTGTCAGTCACTATTCTATCTAATGAGCATGCAGATAAGGAAATTCAGAGATCCATATCTGCATACTTGTTCTGGTTCAGTGACTCTGTTTACTGAAACCTATGGATCAGCATGGAAGCCCCTATACTTCCTCAGTACAGCTTTCCTATAACCCCTTGACTGCCAACGCTTTCTTTTGAAAACAAAGACAAAAAAGCTTTCTTTTGGTCACACTGCCTTGTATATATTGTATTGCATTCTTGAGCAATTTTTACATTTCCATTATGGGCTTGATTTGGAAATAACTTTGTCATTACTTAACATAATTAAATAATATATCACTTTTTTTTTGAGGGGGGACAAACAAGGATTTCTTTTGGCCATACTGCCTGGTATATATTGTATTCTATGCAAAGCAAAGTTATTTACAGTTTACTATTTATTTTTTTAACATTTTGCACATTTTTTTAAATTAAAAATTTAACAAACAAAAGGGAAACAAAAAAAAAAAAAGTAATATTAATGATTAAAAGAAAAAAGATACAATAAAAAAAATCAGTATTAAATAATAGCCAAGAGGAGAAAGAAAGAAGGATTTAGGTGTCCGTTCAATAAACCATGCTAAATTCTGCTTTATCACTCGATATCTTTTCTTCACATATCACAGTGATATTTTAGCACTTCTAAAAGCCTGCTTAAGTGGCCAATTTATCACAGTGATAGCATAAGTGAACTCTCACTGTGATACCAGGAGAAAAGACTGGAGAATAGAGTGTGGAAGGCTTTTCAGGGATGCACACAGGTGAAGAGTTAAATGAAGTGTCATTTTGTGTCACTTCAATAAGCATTTTAGTGTGTGGGCAAGTGCAATGTGTGTTACAATGCATTTCAAATGCACACCAGTGCATATGCATATTAGATGCAGCATAATGCTTATTCGCTGGTGTGGGGCCCCATTCACACCTGAGCGTAGCATGAATGTGTCACATTTGTGCGTGTTCACGTGTGTTTGCTTCCCATTTTCCATGCATCCCTATTCAATTTAAGAATTGCGGAAAAGTAGAGCATGTAGCAAAATCTGTGATATGCATTACACATTTTTCTTCTGTGTTTGTACGCGTCTTGATGCACGTGAATGGTGCCGGAATGGGCAGCAAGTGAATTTGATGCAGCAGTTCCAAGTGGGGAAAAAAAGTTTTAGCTTACAAAACTAATGTATCGTGTGTCTTTCCTGATGCACCTGTGCGGCAAAACAAAAGTCCTATAGGTGATGAGTGGAGGTGAGGAATAATGGGTTGACAAATGCCCTTTTGGATGCATTACAGCATGAGCAATCCTGCAATTATGCCTGAAAATTACTATCAAAAATAGGTCTTTATCACCATGTCTGAGGTGGTGAAAAACCTAGGGGACACACTTAGCACTCCCAACACTTAGCACAGTGATAAAGCTATTTCCTACTTTTCACTGTTTATTAAACAGGTACCACCTATCACCTATTGCTATCACCGTCTGTGTAATTCTCACCATGAAGAGAAAAGGCGAGATATGTCAGTTCTTATCTAACTTATCACAGTTTATTAAACACCACTTTAGAGACTTATCATTGTGATAAGGTGAGTAAAAGTATTTTCACAGTTAAACATACACCTTAATTAGGTAGCTTAGCATAGGTAGGTAGATTAGTGTAAAATTAAGAATGGGTTAAATAGAAAAAATGTTTTGTTTTTGCAAGGTTAACGGACATCATATGCACATCAATGGATCTAAACATTAATGAAATAGTAAATACAATATAACAGTAATGGAAGGACTGTATCAAAACTGGAGCAGACAGAATCTGGATCAGCTTCTCTCTTCAGTTTGTTCCGTTAAGCTTTAAAAATGAAAGATAGATGGGGAATCGCTCCAGATTTTGTCTGCTCCAGTTTTGATAAATTTCCCTGAATGTTTTTACATTGTATTTCTGAATGAAACTCCTAAACAGTGACCTGAACTCTGTCTAAAAGCTCTGTTTTACAAAGCAGTTGCTTCAACCGCTGCTGTAATGCAGAGAAAGTCTAACATGTCGCTTTGTTTTCTGGCAAAAGCAGTGGGGAACGAAAGCAGGGGGAGAGGCGCATATCCTGTGCACAGTAATTAAGTTTTTAGGGCACGTGCCACCTAAATTATTATTTAATAATAATAAACTGGCAATTGTATAAATGTAATCACTATAATAATAAACGTATATGTCTGTTGTATCATTAAGGTCCTGCTACCATTTCCAAACACAGGAATATTCCAACCAAAGATCTCCGACTGATCTTGGCCAAGCTGTCATATATGGACCATATTTTAATCACTGTAACATCTATTTGTTTCCAATAGCTCGCACAGTCAAATAGATATATGCCACCTAAATAATGATTTTAAAATATATATATTTTGAAGGCATGATCTAATGCGACAGTGCTGGCGTGAGAAGCCATATGAACGACCATCATTCGCCAAAATCCTGATGTCTCTCACACGAATGCTAGAGGAAAGAAAGGTAAATGCCAGTACAAAAATGAACCTTTGGGCTAATGAAATGCAATCATTATGTACAGAATGTAAGAATCTATCTGAAACAAATGTATCATTTTATTTTTAATGTATCAGAGTTTTTACTTTTCTTCATGTATGAGGAGAAGCTCTTTTCTACTTCATTATTCTGCTAAACAAAACAAGACTTTAGCCAGTAATGATTGCTAGGCCCAGAGCATGTGACTTGAGGCCTCTAACAATGTGCTTTTGGGTTCATGTTGATGGTATCTGTATCAGTTTAGCACACTTCTGAGATTATCAAGAATTGTTTGGTGCATTTGACCTGCTTTAAAGCAGGTTTTGCATTCCAATAGACTTGTGTTTATTAATGAGATGTTCACACAATCCAGCTGTTTAAAGACAGACTGGGAAATATTTGTAAGTCTGTAGACCCCTCCACAAACCTGGCCAAAAATTCTGCATCCAAGTCTACTTGGAGGAAAGTCAATCCATCCCACCCACTCACCACTGTTACCCTCACCAGCCACACCCACAGTCCTTCCCTCTCCCTCTCTAATGCTCAAAAGGCTATAGCAAGGATAGGCAAACTCCGGCCCTCTAACAGTGGTGAAACCACAAATTCTATTATGTAGCTGCCTCCAGTCATGCATGTGGCCATCAGAGTCTTGTCATGCCTTATGGGATTTGTAGTAGCACCACAGCTGGAGGGCCGGCGTTTGCCTACCCCTATTGTAGAAGAATGGTTTATTAGAATTAGCTAGCAGCTACTGAAAGTCCATTTTACATTTGCCTAATTAATGGCAAATGCTAGGCCCACCTTACTATAGAACAGGGGTGGAGGACCTCCACCCCTTCAGCTGTGGTGAAGCTACAAATCCCATGAGGCATTGTAAGATTCTCACAGGCACAGCTCCCAGACAGGTGCATCATGGGATTTGTAGTTTCACCACAGCTGTAGGGTAGGTGGTTCCCCACCCCCTGCAATAGAACATACAAACTACATAAATTCTATTATTAAACAGTTTCGGGCCTCAGATTTGTTTACTAACTACTTTATATATTTGTCAATATTTTCTTTTTGCAGACCTATGTGAATACAACACTTTATGAGAAGTTTGCCTATGCTGGCATTGATTGCTCAGCTGAAGAAGCTGCCTAATGATAAGCATCAACTGAACCAGGACTTGGGTGTGCAATATTGTGTGTTGTCTGAGAATGTCTGTAAAATATTTTTTTATACTACACCTGTAATTTTTTTTTTCTAGAACTGTGTAAATAGGATTCCCTTCTCAAGTTAACTAAAATGCATAGTAACTAAATGGGGGAAAAAACTATTGTATTCACAATACAACTTTTCTGTTAAGGCTAACACTACAGTTTTATGTTTATTACTATTAAAGAATGACACAAAAACTGCACCTGGCAATATTTCTATAGTTAGAATTTATCAGACTCATCATCCAAACAGAACCAAAATGAATAGGGCAACTTAAATAATGGCACATAAATTACATACTCATATGGTATACAACAGCTCATGAAAGGCATTGGTAGGGATAGTTTTGACTTGGAGGTAAAATCAACCATTGTCAGCCAGTCTGTTACTATTCTTAACTATAAGAGTATGATATAAAAGGGTAGCATTTATAACATACTACAGCCCTTACCACATTGAGGAATTAACTTTCACTCTATGCCCCCATTATATTACATCTGAGGAACTAAGCGATGGGGCATTTTTTTTTTTTTTTTTATTGACCAGGGGAAAAAACCTTTTTGCCCCTGGTCATCTGACCAGTAACACTTCCTGTCTTGAGGTAGCTCCACTCTATGGAGGAGCAACAGAGCCACCCATGGTAGCAGCATTATCACCTTGTGGAGAGGGGAGTTGTTAGATGGACTTGACTAATTAAAGGCAAACTCAAGTCAACACTTGTTAAGCAGTTATCGTTTTGGACTTATGTAACAGTTTTTTTTTTCCCCTTTGGGATAAATGTTTTACATAAATACAAGCTAACCATTGTAAACACTCCTCTATTAACAAGTGCTCAGCCACACATACCAATCCTGTATATTTCTTGGACACCCTTTTTTAGGCATCTTATTGCTTAAACAGAAGCCTTCGTGCAGGTTTGTATTATGCATCACTTACTAGACTTGGTCCAGCTGTAGTCAACTATACCATAATTCAAATAAATTCACACATGAATCATATTTATTTAGATACAGGAAGCAGCTACTTGAATCCAGTGATGGCATACTGCCCATCAAAAATTACTACAGCATCGTTCTGCTTCTCAATTAGATACAGTTCTCACAAAAGAAAAAAGTAAGCAGCTTAAAGCTCCAGCTACCAAAAACCTGAGCATCAGTTTTGGGTGAGCTGACTAACAAAGTACATACAGCTATACATAGAATACAGATTAGGGCGGGAATAAAAAAAAAAAGGATACAGAGACAAGACAATTACTATTTGCAAAGCCAACAAAGAGAAACAATGAAGATGAAAGCAGAATGGGTGCATCAAATGTCGTCAATTATGGATGTTTACAGAAGATAAATAAGTGCTTTTTATTCCAACATTAACAGCTGTAAGATTTTATCTCCGCCCTTTAGTGTCCTCTTTTACTTTCCAGAGCATTAGCTCCATACAGGCAGTAGCATCTTCAATAGAATCATGACCCGCAACTAAAGGAGAAAGGAAAAAAGGAATATATTAGAGCAATTGTAAGAGTTGCAATTGAGGTTACAGATTTCAACACTGCTGGAGACCACTGAGGAACTCTGGTCCATAAACTTGCAGCACTATTAGGCAACAGGTTGCGGAAGATGTCTCACCATTTACAGTATGATTACAACACATCGATGGGAAGTATTATATAAGCGATCTAAGAAAATTTTGCACCACTTTAATATTTGCCTTACACTCCACATAAACCTGTTTGAATGATTTGCAAAGTCCTACTTTTGCTTCCAGTATGTTAGCAGTGATGCAGTGTGAAATATGAACACTAGCTAAAGTGGTCCCCACCACCAAAATACAGGATTAAAGCCAGAGTTACCCAAATCATATTATTTAATTTGGAGTGTGTATTTGATTAAGCTAGCAGTTGGTTTCTTACATCCAGTCACACATGTATCTGGCAATAATTAAGGGCCAGAGTTCCCAACCACATTCAGGTAGTCATACCTCTGTCACAATGACCACATTATTAAAAGTTAAAACCCCTCCTAATACCAGCTGTTTTCCATATCTCTTGTGCCACAATCATCACACCCCAGAGATGAACACTGTAGGTGTTCTCTGCCTCTCCAGTGTCTGCCACCAAGACAGTTGCTAGAGCAGCCATCCTATTACTCACAGTACAGTTTTGCGTGTAGCATTAGTGCACCCAAAAATCTTGGAGAGGGTATAACTGGTGCATTGATTCTATCCTAAATTTACATTCACAACTCCCTTTTATACATGAAATCATTAAAATATACTATCCACATTAAGAATTATATCAAATGTATACTCAAGTTATAAATGTTGCTATTTTCAGCCAAATCAAGTTTCTGGGAAATTGCTTGCATCTGAAGAGGTTGCAAAAGGCTGGAGAGCTTGTGGGGAATGTGCAGTCCTTTGTCTGGCTTTTTGGTCACTGTGCTTGGGAGGTGGTCCAGGACCTCCACCTCTGGGTGGTTTGGTGTTGGTATGGTAACATAGCATTCAATGGAATACATGCTCCCAGATGGTAGGAGAAATTAAAATGAAACCGCTACTTCAAAAAGGCTTTTATTTTTCAAAATACAATTTGTTACACAGTGTTTTATGGCAGCATACAGTCTACTTCAGAAATGTTGCCTCACAACCCTGCTGCCTGTAAGACAGTCCCCAGCTGGAATGTTACCCTGTTTTAAAAATAGCCTTTCTAAAGCAATTTCTCTACAGTTTCTCCCATCTTGCCGGAAAAATGCCTGTTCCATAGGAAACATGGGGAAGAAAAAGGAAGATTCCTTAGCATGTCTGTTAGTTTAAAGCTAGAACTGCATAGATCATTTTCAAATCTCAGGATTAAAAAAAAAATTAAAAAAACATTGCAAAATCTGCTATTTAGAATTACTGTAGTAGATTGTTTAGGACTATAGTCAGTCACATATGATTATTCAAAAATCTCCTAAATGGGGTTGCTGTGTGATTAATCTCCTGCTCTATGATGTCTGCAAAAGAAAAAAAAACACAACAACCCCAGAGGATTAGTTCTAGTTTAGGCTGTGTGTATAAACTGCACCATTGGTTGACCTTTGACGAGTAGTCATGCTACTGTAGTATCTTCTGTAGAAGCTCACATTAAAAGTATTGAAAAGCATGATCATTTAAAAAGGTACATTCACCTTATGTATGCACTTGATTGACAGAAGCAGTGGGCAGGTGCAATAGCCAGTGTCTGCACCAGACCTTACTAATCAACCACTGCTGGATGCAGGTGATGGGGCTCTGTCTTATGTATGTGCGGGGGACTGGGGGGGTGTGTGTGTCTCTCTCTCTCTCTCTCTCTGTATGCACCTTTGTGTGTGTGTGTGTGTGTCTCTGTATGCACCTTTGTGTGTGTGTGTGTGTGTGTTTGTGCGTGTGTGCCTCTGTATGCACCTTTGTGTTTGTGTGTCTCTCTGTATGCACTTGTGTGTGTGTCTCTCTCTGTATGCACGTGTGTGTGTGTCTCTCTCTGTATGCACGTGTGTGTGTCTCTGTATTGTGTGTGCGCACATTGTTCTCTCTGTATGCGCGCGTGTGTGTGTGTGTATGTGTGTGAATCAGTTGGCCCTCTATGATTACAATTAAAACTTGTGGGGGGAAAAAAACCCACACACAGATATGACGCACAAATAAACATTAACACATACCCACATCACTCACAGAAATCCTGACAATACACACATGCATCACAAAAAATAAAAATAAATTATGTTAGGTTATGTTACAATACATGTAAATATACACATACATACATAGAAACAGACACATATACTGACATTATAAACACACAGACATTAACAATTGTACAGTATATAGTTAAATTTATTTTGAAGTATGAAATTTGGCAAGTAGCCCCCATGGGAGAAGAAAATGTGTCCAGTGGCCCCCGAGTGAATTAAGTTTGAGACCCCTGGTCTACTCCTTGCTTTAACGCTGCATGGAAACATCAGCATCATTTACATGCAGTGTTAAAGCCTTTAATCACAGCAGAGGTGATAAAGATTTAATGGGATCCATTTAATAGACTGACAAGCTGTCAGTAAGCAAGTGGCTGTCTATTAAATAAATCCATGTGTGCATCACCTGGAGCTCTGTGGTGATTACAGGCTTTAACGCTGCAGGTAAAAAGATGCTGATGTTTCCATGCAGCACTAAAGCAAGGAGTAGAGGGACACTGTCAGATAGAAGTCCCCGTCACTGGCGAGGAGGGGGCACATTGAGGAACCTGGTTTTGGGGCAGCAGAGAGTAAATCCGGCCCTGCCTGCATGCACTGAATACCCAAACATGTATTAGCAAAAAAAATAATTAAATTTTAATTATAACTGATGATCTCAGATGCCCCAGTTACCAATTTAAAAATGTTATAATAAAAAACTAGAATGCCCCAAATTCATTTCTTGACTATTTGATGCACCAGGTCCCAGGCCTTCGTTTTCTGGACTGCAGTTTGGGAAAGTCCTTGGACATCACTCCCTGGTGATGTGAACACTTCGTTTTCTGATCATTGGTGCTGTCTTCACAGGGTCCTAAGGCCATCCAGCAGCAGGATGATGACATAAGGGGCAGCAACAAGAGTGGTTAGTGGGCCGATCTCCATCAGGAAAAGGCGCTCTGGGGGATTATGTGGCAACAGACTCCAGTAAATAACTAAAGGGTTACATCTTCCTGCAGCAATACATGTTTGAACTTTAAGTGTTAACTAGTTTCCTATAAAACCATGATCCAGCAACCTGGCCTTGACAGCCGCTGGGACTCCACTAGTGATGGGCCAAACACCCCCGTGTTCAATTCGAATTCGAACTCAATGCAAGTCTATGGGGCCAGAACTTTGAAAATCAATTGACCCCATTTTGAAGGCTTATATGCAGGTTATTGGCCATAAAAAGTAGGGATTTGGGCACTGCCCTGGGGGACATGAATCAATTAAAAAAAACTGTAGCCGTAAATTTTGTGCCTGGGGGGTCCCCTTAAACTGCCTGTAAAGTGGTGCATCTGTACAATGTATAGAACCTGCAGCAGCAAAAGTGACATTTAAAAAAAAAAAGCATGTGGTTCCCCTCCCAAACAATACCAGACCCTTTAAGTCTGGTAGGAATGTTAAGAGGTTCCCCCTCAAAGTCATACACAGCCCTTAAGGTCTGGTAAGACTTTTGAGGAACTTTGGGGCAACAGGGGGGTCCCCCCTAAAATTCCCAACCATACCCTTGATCCAAGCATAGGCCTGGCAGGTCTGGAAGGGGGG